GCCTACAAAGCAAGCCATTAAAATGCTTTGCTTGCAATGCTGTTTTTAGAAACTCCAATCTTATGGAAAAATCTCAATATTAAAAGCATTAGTAGTTCTTCAAGAATTCTAAAAATAAGACCAATGGAATCGAATAGAAAATCCAGAAATAAACCCACAGATTTATGGTCAACTAATCTTTGACAAAGGAGCAAAGACTATGCATTGGAGCAAAGAAAGTTTGTTCAATAAATGGTGCTGGGAAAACTGGGTCGCTACATGCAAAAGAATGAAGCTTGACCACTACCTCACACCATACACAAAAATCAACTCAAAATGGATTAAAGAACTAGACATAAGACCTGAAACCATAAAATACATAGAAGGAAATATAGGCGAAACACTACGGGATTTGCACATCAAAGACATCTTTACAGACACATCACCCAAAGCAGTGATAGTGAAGGCAAAGATAAACAGCTGGGACTACATCAAATTAAAGAGCTTCTGCACAGCAAAAGAGACAATAACAAAAACAAAGAGAAACCCCACCAACTGGGAGAACATTTTTGCACCCAACACTAATGATAAAGGACTGATCACAAAAATCTGCAAAGAGCTGATGAGACTCAGCAACAACAAAGAAAATAATCCAGTCAAAAAATGGGCAGAAGAGCTAAAAAGAAACTTCTCTGAAGAGGAAATGCAAATGGCCAACAGACATATGAAAAAATGTTCAACATCACTTGTCATCAGGGAAATGCAAATCAAAACTACCATGAGATACCATCTCACACCAGTGAGAATGGCACATATTAAAAAAACTAGCAACAACAAATGTTGGCGAGGATGTGGAGAAAAAGGAACTCTCCTGCACTGTTGGTGGGAGTGCAAACTGGTCCAACCACTATGGAGAGCTGTGTGGAGATTTCTGGACCTACTAAACATAGAGCTTCCATATGATCCAGCAATTCCACTCCTAGGTATTTACCCAAAGGACACAGAAACATCAATTCCAAAGAGCACCTGCACTCCTATGTTTATAGCAGCACTGTTTACAATAGCTAAGCTTTGGAAACAACCCAAAAGCCCAAAAATAGATGACTGGATCAAGAAGACGTGGTACATATACACCATGGAATATTACTCAGCATTCAAAAAAGATAAACACATGCAATTTGCAGCAACATGGATGGCACTGGAAGGGATCATGCTCAGCGAAATAAGCCAAAAAGAAAAAGAAAAATACCGGATGGTCTCACTCATAGCAGGAATCTAGAAAACTTAAATAAGGGACCAGGAAAATGAATATAAGAAAGTGAAAATCAAAATCAACAAAAAACTATGAACCAGAGACACTTTTTGGGGGGTGGGGGGCGGGAGGGGAAGGATTGGGGTCAGAATGGGGCGTTTGCAATTGTATGGGGGAATAATATAAAAATAAAATTTAATATTAAAAAAATAAATAAATAAAAAAGCTAAAAAAAATAAAATAAAATAAAATACGATGTCAATAAATACAAATAAAAAAAAAAGAATTCTAAAAATAAAGTGACTCCCATGCACTTAAGAAATTCTTCTTAATTAAGGAATCAAAGGATTGGATTTGGATGATGATGATGATTATTATTATTATTGATCTATTGTTCTAGACTGTCATCTAAAAAGATACTGTTTCAGGTGATAGCCTAGAACATTAGACCAATATTAGTTTCAAGGAATAAAATTTAGGAATTACAGATAATGATCAAAAGGTAAATTTTAAGCATTACTATGAATACAATAGGAAAGAATAATAACCTGTATTTTACCCCTTAGATTATACAAAGTTTAAAAGGCCAATTGCAGGGCCTCCCTGGTGCTTCAAGGGGTTGAGACGCAGCACTATAAGGCTGTCCAAAGCCACTGCAGCATGAGTTTGATCCTCAGCCAGGGAGGGGACCCACATGGCACAGCAGACCTCTTCTGACTCGCCCACTGCTCCCCTCATCAGTGTATTTCAGTCAGTCTGCTTGGTCTGTTCCCCACTCTGTCTCTGGTGAATCCTCTCACCCCCATACCTCTGGCCTGTACCCCAGTTCTTGTATACATAAATAAATAAATAAATCTTAAAAAAAAAAGAAAGGCAATTGCATTAATGAGGGTGTCATTTTCTGACTTTGTTCATTTAGGTATGACTACAAATTGAGGGAAATAATCTAGAAATATGTGTTAAATTTAAATAAATATACTTCTGAACTAGCAATAACACTTTTTGGGTCTCTGCCCTGTTATCATCAAAAACACATGTATCTAATAAAAATGTTTAATATTTGGTGCAGCATTATTTGTCACAGTAAACAACTAGAAATAACCTGAATGCCTATAGTCATGGTTGATCTAAAAAATATTGTTTGGCTGCAAAGAGTGTGATTAGATGTTGATGTTAATATTGGAAAGATATCCTCCAATATTAACAGTTAAATAATAATATTTAAATATGGCCTCTTTTCTGTCAAACATAATAAAAATACTATAGTGTGCATTTGTATGTCTGTCTGTACAAGCAATGGAACTTTTAATATTGATTACCTCAGGGAAGAGGCGGGACTAAGAGGTGATTTTAAAAGAGTCTTTAGATCTCCAAAATCTGTATTACTTCTTCAAAAGAGACACAAACATTTCAAGATATAAAAAAATATGCTTACTATTTGCACACAGTTCCAATAAAGTTAACGACTTCTTTCCCATCCTCTCTATCAAATCACCATACCTAAACAGAAATACATGAAAATTTTGAAGTTGTCATAACTTCAGAGAAATGAAATGGAAATGACCGGGGTTTTTTACACAAATCATTTTTTAAGTTGTCATATGATATTTTGGAGTGTAAAATGAAACTCAAAAAATTGTTGTGGTGGACCAATTTGGAATTTGTAATGTGTGTGTGTGCCCATGTATGTGGGCTGGGAAATAGGGGATTTCATAAAGTTGTTATAATTACCAAAAAATTAGAAATATCATTCCTCTTTTCATCACTTTGTTCAATTCGTATTTCTTCACTTATCTTCTGACTCTTTTTGTTGTCTCAGTATTGTATCCCAAGTCTAGACATTTCTAGCTCTTAAGACTAGAATGGGTCAAACTACTTCTTTAATTCATTCCATCATGAATACTTTCTCATCCTCTCTTTAACGTTTATCTTCTAGCATTGCTTCCAAGTTCACATACAAAGTTTCTTCTGCTGACATAGTGGTAAACAGGACCTTTCATAGAATTAGTTTCCCAGGAGTTGTAATAAGCTAACACAAGCTATTGGTCTTTAATTCCCATGACCATTTCTCCTTATCACCAAAAGTTCCACCATGGAGCAAAGTTTTCTCTGTGCTTGTTACATAAGCAAAGTTAGATAACTTCAACTTCAACTCCCACACATGCAGAAAAACTAGGAGACTTGTGCATACATAGTAGTCTTTGCATATTAACACTGTATCCATATGCACTGCTGCATGCACACGAGACTATCTCCAAAAGTATAAACTTCAAAAAATCAGTCACCATGTCTTGTATTTCATCACTCCCAGTGTCTGGAAGATTATTTGATGTAACAATAATTCCTAATAAATGAAAGTATAAATACGTCAATATTTAATGACTGCCTGTTTAGTCCAATATTATATACTTATATCTTGTGTGAAATAAGAATAATACTATTGCTCTGCATGACAATCTTGAGATTAAAGAACAGTTTCAGGTAAGAGCCTGTTATTTGCAAATAACATGGGAGTGAGAACTCCATTAAGGAGATTATTGAAATAGGCAAGCTTTGAAATTATGAGTCTCTGAAAAGAATACACATAAAAATTTCCACAAAATATACTACTAGGTAAAAATCATAGTCTCAAACATAAATTTTAGTGTTCTTATACTCAATTACACAAAGTTAAAAAAATAGTGCAGTGAATTCACTTTAATTTACTTTAAGTCTATATCAACTATATTTAGATTTTCTTTTTCCTTCTTTTTGTTTTTGTAATATCATAATCGGAAATCAAAGATACATCAACAGTGGGATCTCAAGGTCTCCAAAGCTTGAAATCCAAATACTTTAGAAGTATTTATATAATCATCTAAATATATAATGTATTATATTCATATACATATCATGTTTAATTTTAGGTTGTATTCAACTTTCTGGGCTATTTCCATTTTCTAAAAAATTCTTTAACAGGTATACTTCTTGTCATAAAAGGGAGAGGCATATGTGTTAAGCTTACCAAATGGAGTGTAAACTGGGTCACTAATTCACTTAGGTATGAACTTGAACTAGAACTTTGGTTTTTCTTTCCTTTAGTTTACTGTGTCTAACTCAAAGGAAGTACATCACAGTACCTCTAAGGGTACTTCCTTCTTTAATACTTTATAATTTAATTTTATCACTTTCCAATTATAATTCTACTTTAAGCTTCAAAACCACAGCCCTGTTTCTTCATGTTGACTTGCCCACACAAACCCTCTTAAGAAACATTCATATAATCCGCACAAGTGGAGTGGTTATTGATACCAATAAATTCATTGTATACATAACCAAATTAATTCAGTATTTTTCAAGATTTAATCTATGTTCAAACAAATTCTAAAATATCTTAGAAAAATCAGCACACACAACCATCCATTTATGTACAGCTTTTCTATTCCATCTGAAAATTAAAACCTCTCTATGGCATGTTATTTTGATATAATATGCAGGAATAAGTTTTTTTCTGAACTAGGAGAATGCAGAGGGTGAAATGAGTCAGTTTTCAGCATGCAATTTCTTGAGCTAAGGATCTCCCACCACCTGCTGCTTCCTACACTCCAAAACTCCTGCTCCAGCTAGCATTCCTGGGAGGAGAGGAGAAAACTAGAAGGGCGGGGGGAAAGGTTGATGTGAGCAAGAGGCGGGAGAGAGGAATTGGAGGCAGGAGGAGGCGTGGCCCAGCTTAGGCTGTCGGGATAAATACTGAGAACTGGGTGCGGGTTTGGAGAGAGAACTCCGGAGGAACGCCCGAGCTGAACAGCACCGAGGACAGCGCCCGGCAGCGCCCCAGCCCTGCTCTTCTTGGCAGACCAGAATCTTTCTCGCACGCACACGCGCACACACACGCATACACACACACTCGTTTACCCCTCACGCGGACTGACACACTCACACAGAGAGATACATACTCCGCTGTACAATGGCAGAATCCCACCTGCAATCAAGCCTGATCACAGCCTCACAGTTTTTCGAGATCTGGCTTCATTACGACGCTGACGGTGATTATCTTCTTTCTTTCTTTTTTTTTTTAACTGTTTGAAGACCCTTGTCTGTCCTTTCCTGCCCACTCCCCTCCCCTGAGCCTCCTGATCCTATTATCCCTCATTTCTTTGCTTTATTTCTTTTCTCATCCCCCTAATTTTCTCTCTCCAATTGACAGTTAAACCAGCAACTTGAAAGTTGATTCTATGTTATCCCAAAACCTTGAACTTTTTTCTCCCCCAAAATGGAAATTAGTAGAAAGGAGAGCGCGCAAGCAAGGGAGCAAAAGAGAGATCTCAGGAACTGGGGTACCTTCTCCCCCAAAGGTATCATAGCTATGTTCACCATCCCAACCATTCTGTTGCCCTTAATAGACTAGAAGTTAGAAACCCTCGAAGCGGAGCGCTGCAGCGTTCGCGTTCTGTGCAGATTAATCAATACCTGGGAAAGGATTCTCGCTCCTGCCGCCAGAAAAAATAGCGGTGGTGGAAACTTGACCAGGGGGGAAAAAACTCGGAATGAAATATCTGAAACCTGGGTGCCTCTTTGTTGTTGTAGGAAGTGGTTACCTGGAAGGAAAGGAGCTGCAGAACTTGATTCAGGAGCTCCAGCAGGCGCGGAAGAAGGCTGGATTGGTAGGTTCAAGTTTACAGAGGAGGAAAAAGACCAACACCTCGAAATATAAATATTCTAGCGTTTTCATAAAGAGTCCACGAGATCAGGTGGTTTCTAGGGAACGTAAACATTTATTAACTGAGAAAAGGGAGAAAGAGAGCTTTCCAAGTTGTGTGGAAGGGGGGAGGGGACGGAGAAGGGGGGTGGAGAGAGAGAGACAGACAGACAGACAGACAGACAGACCCTAAAGAGAAAGGGAAAAAAATCCTTACAATCTGCAATCCCAGTTTTTAAAATATAGATTTTGTACTTGTCCTTGCTTATTTGAACAGCGCTAAAAAGGAAAGTGTTGGTGCCTGAGTTTTAGCAGATCACCTTCTCTATCACTGAGTTCAGTTAGGTAATTTTTAACTTCTCTTTAACTGCTTGAGACGAGAGGGGGTAGAAATACATTTCTGCCCCTTGGTGGTCAGGAAACAGATCTGCAGATTATGAATCCCTTATTCTATTACCAGCTTTTATTGTTGTGATGTTGATGTGGTTTGAGAGGTGAGAGAAAATGTCTTGTCTTGACCTTCCTCACTGAAAGTTGGACAACATACAACAGAAAAATGAGTAAGAATTTAGCAAGAAAGGTGTTCATTTCAGTGGGGAAGGAGAAACCCAAACACTAGAGATGTAAAAGTAAAGTGAATTTTAAAATGAATTGATACTCTAATGGAAAACAATTCATGGTGTTTTGAAAATACATTTGTGAATTAAACCATTAGTGAATTAAACAAATGACAATTCTTATTCTGTGAATGACTTCCCTTGGGCATAAATTAACCTGTTAAGAATAGATGTCACTATAAAAATAAAATTTACACAGCTTTAAAACATAGATGAAATAACTGGATAGAGGAAAATAGGCTGTGAATTTTACTAATCTATTGGGGTTTATGTAAGGCTGTTTGCAAAAGCAGTATTGGATTTGGACCACTTAGATCTTTATCATCTTTGGCCTACCATTAGGAGAGGAGATTTTACATTACAGATTATATACATATTTCTTTATAGAAAATATAGATATGTGTGATCCTTTACATTATTGCTACCTTTAACATCTCTATATATACATATACACAAATATAATTTTTGTATATAATATACTAATAGAATTATCTTTCTGCTCTCTTTAAATTGAAAACTGTGACAACATCTACTATACGTATTTAAATTGAATGTTGTGTGACACACATTTCTGTACAACATATTCAAAGAATCCAGAAAATCTCTAAATGTATTACAATGCATTACACAACAACTATCAGTTACTAAAATCATTGTCCAAATTGATTGAAAACCAGATAATACTCTTGAGATTGCCTTACCCATGTTTGATATTATATAAATAAGGAGGTATAATAAAATGGATCTAAAAAAATACAAACTGTTTTATACATTCTCTCTCCTCACCCCCCCCTGTATATTACCAGGTAAATAAATTTATGCAATACTATTACTATAGCTCTTTGCCTCTTTGACTGATAAAACAACAACTATTTTCTTCCTAATTTAAAAACATGTATTTAAAGTGTCTGGTTGAGAAACCTTTACCTGCCACAAAATTTAGAATTAAGAACTTGTAAGATGCTTCTAACAGCCAAATGATTATATCTTAATTTTTCTAAAATTAATTTTAATGTTGATATTTATTTTATCCTAGAAATTCAAATTTTAGTTCTATATATATTTTCAGATACTTTTCCTCTTCCTAGTACAATATTTTTACTTTGTTGCAAATAATGTTTTCTTGCTAGAGTTTAAAGAATTGAGAGTTTATTTTTTTCTACTGCTTAGGTTCCAACTTCAGAATAGTTGAAGCTCTCATTACTAGATGTTAATCTAATAACTCCAAACCTGAGTATAGATTATATCAAAGATATCAAATTGCTTAATACTTTGACTAATGAATATTTTTCTGGGTCATGTATATAGGCACTGGATAGTTCAAAAACCTGAAATAAGATCTGGATTGAGAGCTTCATGTGCTAGACAAATATCTCACTATACTTATGACTCCATTGCAGTAAACCTATTTTTACATGTTCCTTCTTTTTTATAGACCATAAAGATTAAACCTTATAAACCCTATTGTTTGCATTTCTAACCATAAGATAGCAGATCTTTCTGTACTAACAGAAATATAATGCTTGTCCTGCTGATAATGTACAATTTCAAAAATTTCAGTAACTTTGTAGCTTAGTGTAACAATAATGAAATATAACAATCAATATATTTTTACAGCTACCCATTATGCTAAACATAGCATGTAGTCTTTAAATTTGTATTCATTTTTATAGTTTTATTGTTATTATAATTAGCATCATTGTTAGCATTATCTCGTGTTTAAAACAGATTTTTGACATAATTATCAACCAGAAATGTCACAAATTAAAGTCTGCTAGTTAAATTAGTGGTCTTCGATAGTTTTAAGATTTAAGATCAAAGCTTTGCTTTTTGTTTGCTTTGAGGTGTGTGTAAAAAACCTAACAACTGTTATTTCCACAGTACCTTGGGATGAACCTCATTTTCTTACATTTGTTGCTGTAATAAAATTTAACAAATAAAAATCACAATTAACCCATACTGGAAGAATTTTCTTTTTCTATGTTATAATTAAATTGCTTAATTATTTGTTATCTTTGTTCTACTAAAGATACTTATTTTGGTTGAGAAATAATTTTGTAACAATAGTAATAATGACATTTAGCCTCAATATAGACTTTAGATTGTATTAACCTAGATATTCCTATAGCAAATGTGCAATAGATAATACTACCACCTTGTTATGATAAAACTGAGACCTTAATTTACTTCGCAAGGACATAGAATAGGGCATTAGTAAAGGCTGACCCACTTTAAATAGGCTTCAGTTAATACAAGACAGCTATTTTAAATGGGCTATATTGGAGACCCAAGAGTATAAATTCAACTTTCTGAATTCTAGTCCTATGTTCAGATGAGTAGTTTACAGTTCATAACTCTCGAAGCTGTCAATATGGGAAGAGATTACATAAGCATTAGAACAGATTGAAAAAATAAGTCAAATGAGATGCAAGCACTCAGTTTGTGATTCTTAAACATATCTTATTGTACTAAAATACATGAGAAAAAAACATCATCTCAGAAGAAATGGAAACAAGGAATCACTGGAAAACTGCTCCCTAATTTACTCTTGGAGGAAAGATTGTAAACGCATATAATCAGAGACCTGATAAAAAGGTCATCAATATTATCATATGTTTCTAAGCAAAGTACAAATTGGTCAAGTCATATTTTTATCTGATACATTTTCACTGATTTTTAAAACTTATTTAATCAATGAATGCCATTTCCATGCTAGAAACTGTCTTTATTTGTAAAGTGATTCACATATTCAACATTCTCATTTTTTGCTTGCCCAAATTGAAAACACATATTATTACTCTCTAAGGATAAAACATATTAGAATAAGGAAAATGTTATAGAACAATTAGTACAATAACAGAAAAGAATCTTCCCTTAAGCAAATAGTATTTAAAGTACTCTAAAATTGATTATTGTATTTAAATTCACTAACAGTTATAAGCTAGACAAGTCTGATGACATAAAAGTAGCATATTCTCAAAACTAATAATAGAAGGTAAATAATAGTGATTGAATCAGAAATAATAATCATAACTTTCATTTGAATGCAGTAAAAACTCTGTATCCATGATGTTTTTAATTGTTCTCATTGAGGTAAGATTGATTTACAGCACAATAGATGATCTGGGGGTAGAGGATGGCCCCCTTGTCTGTTATCAGGTATATGTTACCACATCACAGGGCACTCATAGTACTTTACCACAGTCCATTAATTTTCGGGAGTCTAGTTAAGCAGAATGGGTACTTCTAAATGATTCCAATTCCAGTTTATTTTTACGATAGGTTATCAACACCATTAATTTTACAATAGGTTATCAACAACATGTATAATTGGTTTGCTTTGTTTTCATCAAATTTCTTACCTGCTTTTATATAATTTTAGGAGTTATCGCCTGAGATGAAAACTTTTGTGGATCAGTATGGTCAGAGAGATGATGGAAAAATAGGAATTGTAGAGGTAAGGAACTTATGCATTTTCCTGATATAGATATATTAAATGAGCTTCATTTTGAAGTTGTATCCAACTCAGACACGGTATGGTCCACTGGGAGAAGCTTATTTTCGTAAGTAACATGCTGTCTTCTGTACAAAAACATATAATCAAAAATTGTTCAGAAATGAAAGAAACCTAAGAATTTGCCTAATTTTCAGGTTAAATTTAATACATTCCAAAATTGTGAGCTGGAGACATGAAATGATTTGCATTTGGTTATGCAGCTGTTTGCTGGCACAGGTACAGCTACAGGCCCAGGTCCCAGACTTCTGGGTCAATGCTCCTCCTGCTATATTACCTCACGTCAACAAAATACAAACCAGATGCATGGTTCACTGGTATTTCATATTGCTTAACCATGTAGGCATTTTTTTTATTAAAATATAAAATAAAAGACAAAAACTGCATCCTGGTTTCTGAAATTCTACTTTTGATCAGCAGTTGACCTTAGCAAGAACATAAGTACTAAAGTGAGTGAATATTTTATATTTTATAAGTACAGATTGCTTTTGAATTATAAAAATTTTAGACTGGGTGTCAAAGCTTATCTTTTGACAGTGACAGATTTTATCGATGGCAAGTTGTTTTCTCTAGGAATTAATGAAGCAAAACTTCGATTATGCATCAATTCTTCCACATTCTCAGATTTGTAAAAGAGCTATTATTTCCCTATTCCTACTTTTTCCAAAGCCTGGTTACTTTCTTTATCTCTGCAATCTATGAAAGAAACTGAGAGGAAAGCTTTATCCAGTAAAACTAATGAAGTTGATTTAAAACACGTCAAATCACGAGCATAATTATGTTCTTTATATATAAAATGTTCTTGGTGTATTAGATCATGAAGTGTTCATTTTGCAACAACATTTAGTCATAATTTACTTGTGATTCAAAAAACTAATATGGTTTTCAAATAATTGATCTTATACGAGACCAATGTGATGTCAAAGTGAAATATATTTATATTTTTAAACAGCTACTACAAATAAAGTTAAGGAAGGACATACTATTATTATCTTTATAATTAAAATATTTCCCTGGAGTATACACTTTCCCAATTGCCTATGTGTAACTCATTACTATATAAATAGATAAATTAATAGTAATGGGACTTACAGATTGGCATAGAGGCCATCTAATCAAGATAAGTCTAAGATAAGGAAATAACTTTAAAATGACATAAATGAGATCAGATAAATCTAATTGTGTAAAACTAGCTGAAAAATCTGAAATCAGCGAAATTATAGATGTGATTATTTTAGAGTTTGGAATAGTTTGTAATTCTAGTACAGGAAAAATTGTCATTTTATATCTAACATGTTTCTCCTTGAAAGAGTCTAGTCGACTCAGCTATTTATTTTACTAATATCTTTAGCAATAGCAGGTTATATAATACATAACCTGAAATTCTACTTTTGATTGGCAGTTGACCTTAGAAAGAACATAACAACTAAAGTGAGTGAATATTTTATGATATTTTATAAAGGAACAGATTTCTGCACCTATTCTGTACCTTATGTACAGAAAAAGAGGGATTAGGGAGAAAATAGGGAGTGTCTGGATTTATACTTTAGTCCCAAGTATCACCATCATGGATTTGGCTCACATGGATTTTGCACTTTTAAAAAGATAAGTAGATGAAACTTTTGAATTTAGGCTTTACTACTTATGATCCATTCTAATGATTTCTGAATTACAATTTGATGTCTAATTTGAATGAAATGTTGAGGTTCACTAGCAAATCTTCCTAGAGGTTAGATGAAAGAAATCTCCACAAAAGTTTAAGATAAGAAATTGCTATAGGGAAGAGAAGATTTTCTGTGTTAGAAAAGATAAATTCAGGAAACCATAAAGGATGAGGAAGTTAATGAAGACTGAAATAAGAGTTTATAGCCGTAACAATAAGAAAGATGTATAAAAAATGTATATTTTTTATATTACAAAATGTTTTCAAAAAACACCTTTTTTCTGATCTTTCAGGACAAAATCAAATAAGTCTAAATAGAAAATTATAACCTATTTTGTAGTAAGGGAACCTGAGGCTTTAATAGAACTTGCTTAAAATCTAATAAATAATAGGAAATGAATAGGACAGTCAGAGCACATCCATGTTCCTCTCAACTGCTTTGCCTTTTTTAATTAAAGAATAAATAATCTGTAGATTTTCTGCATTAAAAGAAAATATTTTCAAGCTTCAGTTGTTTCAAGCTTCAGTTAAGTTTAGCCTGGTTGAAGAGGGATGTATCATGAACAGAGGTGTTATTTGGCCAAAGCACTTGAAACAATGATTTGGACAGAACTTTCAGATCAGATAAAACAAAAAAGGCTTAAAGGAAGGGAAGTAAGATACATAGGATTGATTAGAAAGTTTAGTATGCCTATGGATTCCATCTAGGATGGTTAAGTGGATGTGAAAAAAGAAGAGGTTCTGAAAATCATTGTGGGGAGAATAATGTGGAAAAGAGGGGTTAGGGAGAAAATGGGGATTGTCTGAATTTATACTACATCCCTGAGTGATACAAAGTAATTTTATTAAATGATGTTCATCCTTTCCTTTTCAATTTGATATATGATCTCACTTGCTAAGAAATCATATATATACAAATATATGTATATATGTTCCACATATGTAATATGGAGCTCAAATACATATATCCCAGTCAGCTATGAAGGAATGGAAAACCTTATGTCTTACAAAATTTGTAATACACTGTTTACTCATATCAAGAACTTGTTAACTTTGGTGTTCAAAAAGAAAGAGATTGCATTTGCCTATATATTTTGCTCATTTAATAGATGTACTCATCAAATCTAATCAAAGGAAGCCAAATAACATGCATGCAGTAGTCTTGTTTTCCTGATGGGAATGGGCCAAATTGATTTGGCTCCAATTGAAATGCATTGTTCAAAAGTTCAGAAACTATGGTGGTTAATTTTCGAAGTTCTGTCCTAATGAAGTTGACTGACACATTTCAACAACATGCCTTTCCTAGAAATATATAAAATGGAGAGTAATGTACAGATGTGCTTTCTTCTGAATTTTGTGATTTCACATCTGTAAGTAGATTTTGAAATTCGCACAAATACTCTTTATTAATAGATTGTTAATATGAACTCAAAACAGGAGCATTGACATTCTGAGATAATTTAACAAATACCATGGCAGTCAAAATGTTCAAATTTATTCAGACCAATAGCTATATTACTGAGAAGGTCGATTGAAAGAATTAAAAAGGGAGACTTAATGATTTCGTAGATAATATAAATTTACTCTCTGCTGCTCACGTTAAGTATACATTATTTCCTTTCACTGGATGTCAAATCTGTAAGTTTTTCCCTGATCCCTCTGGCAATGTGTGGGAACCTACTATCCTCTCCAGTTTTAATGTGTCTATTTGTCCAGGTCAGTGCATCCACCGAAAAAAATAGATCTAAAAGCTATTTTAATCCAAAAACTGTAACAACCCTCCCAGGGAGGCAAGCACTTCTCTAGCTTTTCCCTCTTTTCTTCCACAGTGGGATTTGAGCACCTGGGTTTAGCAAAAGCAAATGTAATTTTTTTTTGTGAAAGACAACTTTTCCACCTCAGAATTTGGGGAAATGATGGACAATGGAATCTAATTTAAAATTTCATTCTGAATAGATTTTTTAAGCGAGTTATTAGGAAACATTTTGATTGAGTATTTTAATGAAGAATGATGAGGGCAAAAGATAAGGGTCCCACAACCCAGAAAATCAGGCTAAATCATGAGCTATGTGGAAAGCAGAACCTTTATCCTCTCTGAACCTGTTTCCTGGTCTGTGAATAGAATTGACACAAAGTGTCAACATCAAATGTGACAACACAGGTCAAAAAATAGAGCAACCTAACATATAACATATAGAGCATTTGTTATTATTATTAAAATAAAAATAATACTAGAAAATCTGTTCAATTTTTTGAATGCTGAGTCTTATTTCAACTTCTTAGATACTTTGTCAAATTCAAATTATTAAATTCAACAAATTATAATTTGTCAAATTCAAATTATTAAATTGTTGAATTTAAATGAGAAGATTCTTTGCCTTTGAAAGTTCCTGAACTCACTTCTCATTGATTAGGAAAAATATTCCTCTGGTTTCCAAGTTAAGTAAGTGAAAGCTTCACTAAATGGGTTAAAGGAGATTAACATGCAGCATGAGAGTCTTTAAAAGTGAGGAAATATGCTTCATATATATGCACTTTGAAGTATCTATAATAGCTCAGTCATTTATGTTGCTAGTGTTTTCCTTGTGTGTTCTCCTTGCACCTAGTATACTTAGCTTTATTATTTTTTTAAAGATTTATTTATTTATTTATTTATACAAGCACTGGGTATAGTCACAAGTGCAGGAGGGTGAGAGAATTCACCAGAGCCAGAGTGGGGAACAGAACAGGCAGAAGGACGAAATACACTGCTGAGGAAAGCAGCAGGTGCGGCAGGAGAGGTCTGTGCCCCATGTGGGACCCTCCCTGGTGGCCAAACCCGCGTCGCAGAGGCTGCTGGCAGCCTTGCAGCCCAGCGCTCAACCGCTTAGCCACCAGGGGAGGCCCTACTTAGCTTTATTATTGCATCTATATCCCGTTTTGAAATTTTCTGGGAAAAAAAACTTCTTGAAATTATCTGCCTCCCTATAAATGTTCTTACTAGCAGTGACTGTGACACCACAGCATTCAGCAATGTGTCTAATAGGTGAACCAGAGCAAGGCATTTCAACCTATTCCAAAACATAAGGCAAGAACTCCACCTGAAGCCCAGGAACAAAAAAGAGATGTAAATCCCAAGTCACAAGTTAAGTTCCTTGGGAAGCTGATCTGCGTTGAAGGTTAGCAATGAGGAGGTTTATTAGGGAGTGCTCTTGGGATCAATACCTGTCCAAGGGATTTAAAAAGAACAGGACTGGGCAGAGAGAGATGCTGGAATATGATACACTATCAACAGAGGCTTCAGCTGACCACACAGTCAGCCCTGATACTGGAGTGACCCTTCAGAGAACTCCTTAGTTTTGAATGAGAGAGCCCACCCCATCTGGGTCAGTTATAGGATGCAGCCCCTTTAGGGATACAGCTCTCTTGGTCTGAGATAATCTCCCAAAGGGACCTGACAGTTAAACAGCAATACATACTTTCAGGATCTGAAAGAATTTCTGAGTAGCATATCACAATATCCACTCTCGTGGTTCTCCTAAAGGAAATGCAGGGATTCTCCTTGTGGTCATAGCTATCCATCTTCCCTTCACTCCCTTAGTGCTCTCCACTCTCTTTTCCAACACATAAGGAAGTTTGGGAAGCTTATGAAAGAACAGACAGGCAGCCCAAGGACTATGAAATCACCAATAATCCTGGAACGGAAGTACTGGATGCGTCTATGGACAGCAGTGACAGCAAAATTGGGAATAAAGCAGCCCTACTTACTACTTTCTACAAAAAAAAAAAAAAATTTGGTACTTTCTAGACATGGTCTTAGACACAATAACTGGAGAGTTACTGTGCAGTTCTAAAATTTGATTATTAATTCACAATGCATTGGTGAAAGGAAAGGCAGATAAAGTAGAAACACCACACTGTGAAACCCACCTTTTAAAAGATCATTTCTTTATGTTCACTATAGCCACATCCTATCCACATATATTCACAGCTTCCTTTTTCTAATGACCAGCTTATCTTATTATAATCTCTCACATATTTAAGATTCCTTTCAATAAACTGTATTTTGAAAGAGTAAAAAGGGATCATTATGTTTGACATTAACAGTTCAATGAAACTAAAATATTAAATATGTTGCATATAGATATGTGACTTTTTAATAATTAAACTAGGTAGGACCAAAATGGCACTGATAAAGAAATGTATTTTCACACTAGATGTAAAGACTAATTTTATGCTCTATATATGTCATTTTAGAGTAAGCTGCAGTTTATACAAATTAGATGAACTTTAATGTAGGAAACAAAAATGATTAAAATCTACCTAATTTTGCATTTGGCTATTGCTTATTAGTTCATTTTTAAATTTTTTTTCATGTATTTCTTGGATTTTGATAACTACATTTTTTTTGAAAAATGATTCAGAACAATACAATATTATTAAAATCTAAGCAATATAGAAAATTGCAATGAAGATAGTAAAATAATATTCACTATAAACCATAATAAGTAGGTCATTTTAGTGAAGTGAAATTATCAACCAATCCTCAAGTATTTATATCAGGCCCTTAACATGCTGAACAGCAACTACACTGGACACTCAAGGGCCACAGACAGGAAAAAGACTCGCCCTCATGAATAGGATGGTCTACGGGGATATCCATCAATTATCTGACAAGTTATATATCAATAAAAAGGGAAGAGTTGGCAATGGCTATTTCTTGTTTCCCAAATGAATGCTAATGCTAATACACAACCTTGCTATCCTGTGGCTATACACAAAAACCTCTCCAAACATATCCTTACCCAGTTCCAAAGGTAACTCTGTACCTTAAAAATCTACCTCTGACATATTTCTTTCTTGGAGACATACACTTTATTTTCTTGTCCCTGTAGTCTCTCCTCTTTCCTGGGTATTCTGCCTTCCTCCCCCATCTCCTTTAACATCCTCCAAGAAACATTTTCCCGAACCTCTACAGGAAAGTGTTGTCATAGCCATAGCCAAGGCAAACTACAAGTGATTCCAAGAGCACGATCATTTCTCCGCCCACCAGAGACCTCGCCACACTCAGCCTGCTGGCTTCCTCTTTTCCCCGTTAGCTATGGGTGGACCTACTCTGTAAGAAGCCTGACTTATGTGGTAGATGATTCCATTAATATTGAAAATCACTTATAATCACTTTCTACTAGCAGACTACTTACAGATGAGAAGAGGAGTCTTTACAAGGAAGATAGTGAGCTGGTTTTCAGTGAGGAGGAATGTAGTTCACCCTATCCGGATAGCTTTTTCTCACCTCTAGTAATCAGCAATAAATAAATTATTTTCTATTTAAGACTGAACAAACAAATAATCCATTCTATTATTGTGATCAAGAAGCATGTTGGTGATTTAATTTGCTGGGAATCATCAAATTATAGTCATTTTCAATGTCTGCCACTCATCAGGTCAAGTCATTCAAACTCAGCATCCCCAAATGGAAAATGTGGACCTTGAATTACATTATTTCTGATGTACGGTATTTTAGGATTAAAAACTCAAATGGTCACAGAAATGTATCCTGATTTTAATAAAAGAAAACACACACATACTGCAATGGTCTGCATGCATTTAAGGATCAAAGGCTGATTACATTTTTAAAAATTACAGGCAAATCCTAGCTCCTACTTTCACCTTTGGATATATTATCACCTACCCATATTTGTGATATTTATTTCAAAATAAATAACAAAATATTGTCTGAGCCACACAAAAACATCCTAATAAGATGTTTGATCTTTTCTCCTAGTTTTGACCCCATATATAGTACCTCTAAACTGAATGAGAAATAATTTCAAGGATCTGAAAAGAAGATTAATTAAAGGACATATTACTCAGGCATAAAGAAGATGAGATTAATTTCAGGAAAGGTAGAATGACACATTTTATATTGAATTTTTAATTTTCTAATGAACCTTAAAGAATAATGTTTTAAAGATTTATTTATTTACACATACAAGAGCTGGATATAGGGCCTCCCCGGTGGCGCAGCGGTTGAGCGCTGGATTGCGAAGCTGCCCGCAGCCTCTGCAGCGATGCTTCGATCCCCAGCTGCTACCCGGCCACCGGAGGAGGGTCCCACATGGCGCGCAGACCTCTCCTGCCGCCCGCTGCTCCCCTCAGCAGTGTACTTCGGTCCTTCTGCCTGCTCTGCTCCCCGCTCTGGCTCTGGTGAATTCTCTCACCCTCCCGCGCTTCTGACTGTACCCAGTGCTTGTATAAATAAATAAATATTTAAAAAAAAAAAAAAAGAGCTGGATATAGGCCAGAGATGCGGGGGGTGAGAGGATCCACCAGAGACAGAGTGGGGAACAGAGCGGGCAGAATGACTGAAATACACTGCTGAGGAGAGCAGTGGGCAAGACAGGAGAGGTCTGCCACACCATGTGGGTAGCTCCCTGGCCGGGGATCAAACCCGTCCTGCAGTGGCTGCTGACAGCTTCATAGAGTCTTAACCGCTTGCGCCATGAGGGAGGCCCAAGAATAATTTTTTTAAGACATGAGTTTTTCCTGGAATTTGACAGAACTTTTGGAACTTAAATTGACCTTAAGTTTAAATAGGTGGCAAGTTCTTGACCTAAAATCCAGGGATGAAGGTCTATGTCTGCTTTTCAGAGGATTCATCAACTTCTGTAAAGTTGATGAAATATAGTATGTGTAGGTTTATTCTCTAATGGTAAAGATGAAATGACTGTAACAGATTCTCAAAGTCATTTTGAACCCAATACATCTAGGAGACATTGGCTTCTATTTCAACTCCTGATTTTAGTGATGAGGGTACTAAGTACCAGAAATGGCTGTGGGAGTTGCCTGGGACCACAGCTAATTAGCAGCTGAGCCAGGAATAGAACCCACGTCTGCAGTGGGGCCATCAATCCAGCTCCCTCTATCCTTGTGGGCAGTAGATAAATTATGTTCACCTTAAAATGGGATCTGGAGCCCTTTTTTCCCCTTAAAAAAAAAGGAGCACTGAAGTTACGAAATGACATCTGAGGAGAAATGTCATAGTTCCACCAACTGGAGATCATTTTTGCAGAAATCAACAACCTGAGAACTGACTTTCTCTACTGCTGTTCAATTGTTGCTCCTCCTGATTTATCTTTTCTACCTCTCTTCCTCCCTTCCTCTTCTTCATGTAATTGTCTTTACTTTATCTCTTGCATCTCTTAGCAGGCTTTCTCCTCAGACCTGGGAATGCATTTATTTATTTTTCTTTCTTCCTTTTGCCTACATTAATTTTTCTCACATTTTCTCTTGTTCTATATGAAATGTCTGCCCCCATGTGCTAGTCTACGTGCCCTAAGCACAGAGCAAGACTGCTCTGTGCACACAGTACGTGAAGGTTATATGCCAGAGGGGTGAATCTGCTTGGTAAGTAGCTGAGAGGTGATTAAAATAGTCCTAAGGGAGCTCCCTTTCCTATGCACTTCCTGTTCTCCCCCTTGCTGACCACAGAAACAGTCTAGTAGTTCAAGGCACCCAAGCACTGGATAACAGAATGATACTTGGAAAGAACAAAGTATCAGAAAGGGAAAGTCAATTCTAAGATGCTTTCTCCTAGTTTTTTAGACAATAAAATTGCTCCTGATGAATATGTACAAGAAAATCTCAGCAGCAGATCATGTCAGTGACTTGTTTTCAAATGCCTTACAACGATTTCAATCTTTTCTAGCTGGCTCATGTATTACCCACAGAAGAGAACTTCCTGCTGCTCTTCAGATGCCAGCAGCTGAAGTCCTGTGAGGAATTCATGAAGGTATACAAAAGTCCTATCACTGGGACTTCTTCAGAAAGAGGCTTAAGTAGAAAAATTATTAATTTTTTAAATGTCTTTGGTTTTCACTATCCAAAATTACTTACAGACATGGAGAAAATATGACACTGATCACAGTGGCTTCATTGAAACTGAGGAGCTCAAGGTAAGTAAATAAAAATTTGAACCAAGCTTTTTCCTTTCAAATACAATTATGAACTCTGTAGCTTTTTAAAAATCCTCCCACAAAAGAAACTAATGTTGAGCAATGGCACATTTTCACCCACTCTTCCACATCCTTAATGAAGTACCAGATCAAAAAAGACTTCAAGTACTTCTTGAAATTCTGTTCAGCATTGCAAGACATTAGCATTTCTTGTGCTGTACACAAATTGTTACATAAAATAGACATAACGACATACTAAGCCAAATAAACCACTCCTTTTCATTGAAAGGTAGAAGTTTCTTTTATAAATCATACACCTATATAAATAGATTTCTCTTTCAAAAGAAAGACAAAGAAACAATTAGTTGACACCTACTCTATGACAGATACTTTACACACATTATCTTATTTAATCTTTGTGCGAGTTCTATGAGATTAGTATTATCACAGTGAGGAAGGAGGTTAAGAGAAGTTAAGCAATGTACTGATAGCCACAAGAAATAAGACACAGACCTACAACATTTAAACCCACACTCCATTCAACCTCCTGCCTCTCCACAACAACAGAAGTCCTAAAATAATAGAACTTCTAAAAAATGCAACTTGAAAATAAATTTATTGATTCATGTCTCACAGATATATAGATGAGCTGGTGAGGGAGGAGGAGGCTCTAGGAGAAAAAAGCAGAGATCTGAAGTCTAGTCTTACCTCTCGACAAATCTCTGACATTTTGTCTGATTTTTTCACCTTTAAATTAGGGATAATAACTTCCTCTCAGATTATCCCTAATCCCAAGCACAAGATAGTTCATTGGAAAGGTTTTATGAAATATGAAACGTGATACTGTCTGTTAGCTCAATAATTTCCTAGACTTTCAGTAATATGGAAGCATCTTTCTGTCATTTCCTTAAACAACTCCAAGACTTTTCATTTTGGAGACCCTATTTTCTCTAGCTTCAAGTTATAGAATCACTAAAATGCAAGTGGATTGATATTTATTCAACACCTCCATATGTGACAGGCATATTACTAGATGCTTAAAATGCTTTTTAACTTTTAACTCATAACAAATTTGCAAGGCTGGTACAGTCATTCCCATTTTATGGAGAAATTCTCATTTTTCAGAGAGATTAGTAATTTTTCAAGATTACACAGCTCCCAAAGAAAAGAACCTAGATTAGGAGCTATGTGACTATCTGACAATGCTAATAATGCTTCCTTGCCACTCCACCACATACTTTTAAGATTCAGTCTTCCAAAACTAGCTCATTGTCTGCTGTGTGGGGAAATATAATATCTAGCACAGTTTTCTGGTCATGGTTTAACATGGTTTGAGTTTCAAACATTTTAGAGATGGAATTGAACATTTGCACGACTGCAAAACTGCTAAAACATATTCTATGGTAACAATTTGGTAATGCAAACATGTGAAATCACCAAAAACAATGTCTTTAACAAACTTGCAGTTCAACGATGTAGAGACCACAAGGTGACAGATAAACTATTGTGTTTTAATTTTATTGAACCAAAATAAAATTCTTTTGAAAATCATTTCAAGTTCATAATGAAAACTTTAGTTCGTTTCTAATACTGACCTCAAAATATTCTAAAGGTCTCCTTCTTTGTTCTAAATTTTATTCTAAGAAAAAGATTCTAAATAGAAGTCCTCTTCTCTCGGGAATTTTGAAGATAAGTTGGCATTCTTTTTTAATGGATCTTTCAAGAAAGCTAATTTTAAGATCCATAATAGAGTAAAACATAGCTTGCTCGCAGACACGACTTTGAATCTCAACGTCCTGAGGTTTCTCCCAGGCTATTTTTGTGACCACCATTTTAGTCTCTGATGAGGCTTTTTAACCCAATTAATCTCTGACAAAAGCCTCATAAGACTCAAAAATAAATTCGCCCCTAACAGATAACTTTGAATTTTCCATGCTTCACTTTGAATGTGAAGTGAACTGTTTGAGGTGAAAACAAATTTATCAAATCAAGAAAAAGGTCTCCATCCATGAAAAGAATAAAGTTAAATCAGTCCAACAGAACTGGTACATTTGGGAGGATGATAGATAAACTGTGCAGAAGCAAAGAAACCCAGTCCTTCAATAAAGTCTACAAACAGTATCTGCTCCGTTTTCCATAATTGCATTAATTCATTTCCTGAGAATATAAAGAAGTTACAAATGAACAATACTGGACAAAGTGAAAGACTATTATATGCTTAAGTACTAACACTGTCATTTATATGGCAAGCTTTTGTAAAGCTTTTATTTGGTTTGTTTTTCTGTTAAATTAAACTCACTCTTAAACTCCAACTGTCAAATTAATAATCATCTTTTCTCATTCTTCCCACATTAATCCTATTTTAATATGATTCATATATTCTTCAAAGATTAGATAACATCATCTGTGGCCAACTGTTTTTGTTTGAATAGTCAGCTGAATCATTCTACCCAAGTTGCTTCAGACTGCATCAAGCCCAAAAGTTAGCCAAATGGCCTCTGGTAAAACAAGTGTCATACTGGCTATAAACAGATGTGGAAATAAAGCTTATGCAGTCCAGAAATTGTACTTGAAATTAGAGGTATATCTCCATTTGGTTTGTTGATAATTTTACAAACGTATGGAGAGGGATTCTTGTGCTACTTACAGAAAGTCATGAGTGTTTGTGAAGACAACATTATGTAGAAATGCACCCACTGGGATGACTGGTTTTTCAAGTGTTTGCTCAGATTCCTATATAGTGCATAATCAAAATGCTTTTTTATTGAAATCATAAAATTATGTCATTACATGGACTACAAGAGATCAGGTCTCAGTAAAAGGCAGATTACGTACCTGTCAGAGGCAGCATTGCTGCTGAAATAACAAGAGGATTCCATGACAAGAGTGCTCCTTCCAAGCTCCTCACCCACTTCTACCCTCAATAAGAGATACTCCTTGTATCTTGGAATGTTCCATTGCAAAGGGCAGGCTAAAATGGAAACAGACTGAAGGTTATTGATGAAATTTATTTGAGTGTTCTTTGCCTTAACAGAACTTTCTAAAGGACCTGCTGGAGAAAGCTAACAAGACTGTTGATGATACAAAACTAGCTGAGTATACAGACTTAATGGTAAGACTGATCTTGAAAACATTGTAGCCAACAACCTATAAAATCCAACTGTATTCTTGCTAATTCAGGTATCATTTCACTTCAAAAGTGCAATTCTTGTTAAGGATTCTTATACCTTGTAAGGTTGAGTGCTGTGGACATTTTTTAAGACTTACCATATAAGAATTTCCTGTATTGTAAAGTTAGATTATTTTTATCTATCAAAAGATCAGTTCTTACAAAGCCAGTATAATTATATCAATAAATTATTTAACTTATGCATATATATAAGATACATTATACCACTAAAAGCTCATTTATTATAGAGGTTCTGAGTCAACTTTTACCATGGCTTAGAAAATCATAGATTTTGTTAGAATTTAAAAAAGAACTTCTAGACTCTATTCATTAAACAACTTAAAATGAGGACTTCCTCCTCCTTTCTTTTTATTCTTTTAATTTTGGAGTGTTGTCTTGGTACCTTGGGTGACAAAGTCCAAATATACTCAGTTCTTGATGTTCTGTATAACCAAAATTTTTGTAGAATATTGATAATTAAGCTAAGAAAATTGTTTTATACTTAGGAACTTTGTATTTTAGTAATGAACAAATAAATTATAAAATTCCAGGTAAATTAGTACAACTTTATTAAGTTAATTAATTCTAAGTAGGTAAAGTTTTCTTTTTTGGCTCATTACAGTATACTAGGAATACAAACAAAAATTTTGCCAAATGTGATTAAGCCAAATATTGGCCCAATATTTTGGCAATATTATTTTAGTTGCCTAAATTTTTGAAATTCAAAGGTTAAATTAACTAGATCAAAACATATATTTATACATACTTTAATTACTATGAAGGTACAGTTATTCTTGCCAAATGAATTTCAATAAATAAATACTGATGAAGAATTAGACTTGTTATTAACCTTGAGAAATAATGTTAAAATGATTTTACTAGATGAAACTGAGATGAATCTTCAGCCAAAAACTGAAACTTTATTATTGCTTTATTCACCATACATTGGTATTTGTTATAAAGTGGAACTAATTTTTAGTTTCAAAATAATCAAAAAAGATTTCACTGTAAAGAAGTGTGCTCTTTAATACCTCATTATAGTAACTATTTATTGGCATACAGATGCATCACACTGGACATATCTAAGCTCTAAATAATTTTTGGAAATGGACAATAACCTACATTTACCAATTTTCTTGTTTTGTACCAATCTTAAGGGATGTCTATTTAAAGACTCCTTTCAGAAAGAAATTTGAAGTAGCCTTTTTAAAACCACTCAGATGGGAGTTTTCCCCCTGTTGGATTGGCTTGGCATATCTGATTAAATGTCATAAACCAGTTCAAATCCAGGAAGCAAATTAATCAAGAACTAATTAAAATTTAAATATATATGTGGGGAGATATTTCCCTGTGGACACTAAACTGTGTGATCTGGTGTCCACTATCTTGGTAGGCAGTGTGACAAATTAGAACTTATGGTCAATAAATAATTATAAATACTGTGTCAGTATCATAACCTGAAAAAGTCTGCCTTCTATTAAACACTCTTAGAACATGTCAAACTGTGCAAAGTCCTTCCTTTTCTTCCTAAAGTCATTAAACCTATATCCATTGTGAATCTGATTGCATTCCCTCTTTAAAACTGAAAATAATGCTACCTTTTCACATACCCAGTATACATATCATGTATTTTTATAGCTTCCATATATACTTTTATATAATATGGTAAAGCTAGATCTATTGCTACTTTCTAAAAAGTGAACATTTCCCACATGAATATGAACATGTTTTTATCTGGGTGTGTCTCAGTGTGTGATGTGTTATATAAACAAAATAGGGAGGTAGAGAGGATTTCTGAGCATCTAGTATCCAAAAGAATATAAAACATTTCCAAATTCCTTAAAAATCTATTCTGTAAGGATTTATGCATATTATTTGCTCATTGTTTTGTGTCTGTATTCTTTTGTGCTCAAAACAAAGGAAAAATTAAGTATTTATTTTCACAGCATTGTTTGGAGAACTTCAATTTGTGGCATCTATTTCCAGACCCTCTCCAGTAAATTCACCATGCATTCTTTGCTGCAAGCATTTTTACTGCAAAATTAATAGACCATAAGTCAATTTTGTCATAAAAGATTAAATAACTGTTTGACAGTTTGGTTTCAAGTCTGATTCTTCATGGCACTTCCAATTTTACATTATAAAAATGTGGTGATAAAACTTACCAGAAGTGTGAAATAGCATATGTAAAGTCAGATTGCATTCTATAGCAGAAAATAATAGTCAGTTTGCAAATCCTTCTGATGAGTAGAACCAAAAGCTTACTAAGCTATGGCAAATATAAAAGAAGTGGCTAGTAATTCACACCAGTCTTTTGAAGCACTTCAATTCTTTAGCAGATTTAGATGCAACAGCTTGTTTTCTACTGCTGTGTTTACCTAATATATCATGCAATATTAGAATTTGGAGGCAAGAGAAGAATTTAGCTTCTCTTACCTCACAAAATGAAATGGCTCCGTATTCCCAATAAGCATATGTTTCTTGGAAATGGTGACTTTTTTGCTACTTGAGTGGAAGGCATGATGTAAACAGAATATTGATATTTCACACAGAATCTCTTTGGAAGATTTGGTGAAATATAAAGACAGGGCAAGTGACAGAACATTTGAGTGTAGTCCAGTTATGTACTACCAGTTATATACATTATACATAAAGACAAGAAATAGCAGCACCCCTGCTCTGTTAAGGAACAATGTAGAAGGCTTTTACAATGTAATACAAAGGTCGGTTACAAATATGCATCATAGAATTTAGAAACTGATTCCTCAATTAATGAAGGATTTTTTTTGCAAAGAGTACTTCGTTATGTCCTTTTTAATTAATGGACTTTTTTGTGATTTGTATTGTTTTGTTTAATAGCAAAATTGTTTTTCAGCCAATTAGTTCTGTGGCAAAAATGTTGGAGAAAAAGTTTACAGCAAAGAACTTCACAGTGAAACTATCTATACTCCTGCAGAGACCACCTCACCCACATACATACATACATATACATACATATTTGCAAGAAAATACATGATGGTATTCTGGAAGCCTAGTTAAGATTATTATTACTTTTTGATTACTCTATTTTGTTCTGAAAACCTTTGCCAATTATACAAGTTATAGAATTGAAAATTTGCATTGAAAGTGTAAGAAATGCTAGTTTCTAGATTTTTGCTGTCTATAGAAGTAATTAATAACTCAAACTGCTTTATTTTGAATTTTCTTCTCCTTCGTGCAATAAATCACTCTTCAGTGGCTACAATAATGACATTCTGTCTTTTAGCTGAAATTATTTGATTCAAATAATGACGGCAAGCTGGAGTTAACTGAGATGGCCAGGTGAGTCTAGAAACTATACAAATATTATAAGCTTATAAGCTGATTCTTGCCCAAAAAAATCAAATATTCTAATATAATGTTTTTCTCTTGATAGATTATTACCAGTGCAGGAGAATTTTCTTCTTAAATTTCAGGTATTTAACTTTTTCTACCATAAATAATACTTTCCTTGGTAAGTTAAAGTGTGGGTGATTTGCCAAGGGAAACACACTGACATGTAATACTAGATTTTTAATCTTTGCTCTCTTTTTATCATCTAGGGAATCAAAATGTGTGGGAAAGAGTTCAATAAGGCTTTTGAGTTATATGATCAGGTAAAAGTTCATTCTTATCTGTAATTTGATTCCTTAGTAGAATTTGGAAAATGCTCATTAGGGGAAAAAAACCTTGGAACTCCAGGTTTCTATTAGAAGATACAGGAGCTATTAAAGTTAACAGCCAATTCATCCAATTCATAGAAAATGCATTATGATTTTATATTCATGACATGTATGGATACATGTCAATAAGGGGCACTAAAACTGGTTTATTGGAAAATTCATGACACATTTTTGCTTGAAAAACATAGAAAAAATATGCCATGGCATTTCCAACAACCTGATAGTTTACTGGTCACTGCGTGAGTTTTTCACACCGCACACAATTGCAAGACTACTCAGGTTTAAGGAAGAACAATAATGAGATTTAATTAATTAATAATTAATAAAGCAAAGAGTCAGTAAGGCCTCCAGTGGCCGTTTATCCTCACCTGACGCCGTGTCTAGTGGTTTCAAGTTCTATCCCAAATCAAAGGCCACGCTTCCAAGATGGTGTCTTCCTGGCACTAAAGGCCTGGGCACGCGGCATCCAGGCAATAGGCCGGAGTCTAAGTCATGCAGACAGCAGAAGACGCAACAGAGGATGCTCCTGGAGCTGCCAAGATGCCCTAGCACAGCAGCAGACAATCAAAGTTGGAAACAACAGATGCAGCAGCTGAAAGACCAGATAAGGGGCGGGCACTCACGCAGCTCAGTAAGGCGCCGCTCCTGATCTTCGCTTCCCCTTCCTGGCTGTAACAGCAGCAAAGCTGAGAACAGTTTCAGTCCCTTGGCTACCTGCAAAGACTCCGAACTTTTCTTTTATTTTTTTTTTTTATTTTTATTATTTTTTTTTTTATAGAGGCATGCTTTATTTATTTGTTTGCTGGTTTGTTTGTTTGTTTTGTTTATACATGCACTGGGTACAGTCAGAAGCGCGGGAGGGTGAGAGAATTCACCAGAGCCAGAGCGGGGAGCAGAGCAGGCAGAAGGAACAAAGACGAACTTTTCTTTTCTGATGTTGGCTGCTGAAAGCCTCTGCACATCCTTTGAAGCCCGCAACAGCCTTCTGGAAGATGGCATGGTGGTGACAGAAATGGCTGACCCCACAATAACTGAAGATCCAAAAACACTGAAAACGCTGAATCATCTCGGAATATGTGGAATCCCAGGGGCTGCTTCTGCAGTCCCTCATATTTCCTATCTAGTCTCGACACCCACTGATAGTTTGTCATGTTTTGCCTGGAGCTGATCATCCTCACCCGAACCACCCTGCAGGGGGCGCCAGCTGTAACAGCCTTTGGCTTCAACCCCTGTTACAGTTTGTCCCAAATTATATAAACCTTGATTTTTCGGGGCCTCCCTGGTGGTGCAAGGGATTAAGATGCAACCTATGAAGCTATCCGCAACCACTGCAGCACGAGTTCAATCCCCGGCCAGGGAGCTGCCCAAGTGTCACAGCAGACCTCTCCTGACTCGCCCTCTGCTCCCCTTGGCAGTGTATTTCAGTCTGCCTGTTCTGTTTCCCACTCTGTCTCTGGTGAATCCTCTCATCCCCCACACCTCTGGCCTGAACCCCAGTTCTTGTATGCATAAATAAATAAATCTTCAAAAAAAAACTAAAAAAAAACCTAAAATCCTTGATTTTCCTTAAACAAGATATCATACTCCTCTGAACTGCAATTTTTTCATTTGTAAATAAGGGATAAATAACATCCACTTTGGAGGGTTGGATGACGATACGGCTAGATGAGAGCAGCCAGCAGAATCTCTCCACATAGTAGATGTGTATGTGGGGGCAAAGGTTGTTTATGATGTCTCCAGTGCACATCCAATTTTACTTCTGTTTTCTCTACTTCTGGACCTGTAAGTCCTTTGTGGGCCCTTGTCCAGTTCTGTCCCCACCTGCCATGTGACTTCAAATCTGTCATGTGTCCTCCCTGGCTAGTGTCCTCACTGCCATAGGATCATATTCATGACTACTCATTTACTTCAATGAGGACAATATTGTTAACATACAGTGAAATATTTAATGTGTATGTATTTTGAAAAGTTTTAAGTATTTTGCAAATGTAAGGAGTTGAATGAAAAGCAATCTACATGTTTTGGAACTTTGTAGCAGTTACTTTTTTTGAGGGTATGACATTAAGAGTTTAGAATATCTACCATGGGGCCACTCTGGTGGCACAGGGGTTAAATCACAGTGCTATCAAGTTATGACCAGCCACTGCAGCATGGGTTCGATTCCTAGCCAGGGAGATGTCCCATATGGTGCAACAGACCACTCCTGTCTTGCCCACTGTTCCCCTCAGCAGTGTGCTTCTGTGGATCCACCTGTTCTGCTCCCCTCTCTGTCTCTGATAAGTCCTCTCACCCCCCCAAACCTTTGGCCTACACCCCAGTTCTTGTCAAAAAAATAGAATATCTACCCAAAAATAGATGACTGGATCAAGAAGATGTGGTACATATATACCATGGAATATTACTCAGCATTCAAAAAAGATAAACACATGCAATTTGCTGCAACATGGATGGCGCTGGAAGGGATCATGCTCAGCGAAATAAGCCAAAAAGAAAAAGAAAAATACCGGATGGTCTCACTCATAGCAGGAATCTAGAAAACTTAAATAATGGACCAGGAAAATAAATAACTATAAGAAAGTGAAAATCAAAATCAACAAAAAACTATGAACCAGAGACACTTTTAGGGGGGCGGGGGCAGGAGGGGAGGGATTGGGGTCAGAATGGGGGGCTGCAATTGTATGGGGAATATAACAATAAAATTTATAAAAAAAAAAAAATAGAATATCTATCATGTATGCAAGAATGGAAGTTTTCTGAGATTTTAGTTACAGCAGTCCTAAAAATAATGTCATTTTTTCAATGTTGTTTCATTATAACGTTGATGAGAAAAAAATCCCAGCTGACACTAAATGAAATTTTGTTCTTAGAAAACCCTTTTCTGAAATCACAATTTCCAAAAACCATCAAAGACTGTAAGTGAGGACTTACTGCATTTTACTCATTGCCTATTATTAAAGATGAAGTTGACTTCACACTGTTTTATTTCTCCTCCTCTAGGATGGCAATGGATACATAGATGAAAATGAACTGGATGCTTTGCTGAAGGATCTGTGTGAGAAGAATAAACAGGTAATTTATTTTTTGTGCCACTTGTTTTTAAGCAGATTTTGTGGATCCATCCAGAAACAACAGCACATCCATTTTTAGAAATCTACTTTAAACATCTTTAGAGGAGCAGAAATAGACTTCCATTCTTAACTGGATTTGGTACTGACCTAAAGTAGTGTAATTGTGATAAATAGATATTTAAGACAACCTTGTGATTATTCACATTTGTGTGAGAATTTATTCCAGCTCTTTTCTTAATGGATTGATGCTAACGAGCAGTTTTTATATAACAGTTTATCACTTGACAGTGATTAACTTCCATGATCTAACTGGATTACAATGTCATCTATGTCCTATATAGGATCTGGATATTAATAATATTCCAACATACAAGAAGAGCATAATGGCTTTGTCAGATGGAGGGAAGCTGTATCGAACGGATCTGGCTCTTATTCTCTCTGCTGGGGACAACTAGAGCTGGTGACTATGACCATTTACTAGCGATACGTTGTATCTATAAAATAACTGTGCACTATAAGGGAGTAGGCTGTATTTTCTTTTATATCTGTAAATTTAACTGCATATAGGTAATTATCCAGGATGTGTGGCACATTCTTTTCAGCTTGTTTCTATACTGTTTGTAATGTACAGATTTTGTAACTATATGATGAAGAGGAGAATGAAGATGCTTAGACCTGTCAGTATACCAGTTACAAAAAAGTAACCTATTATTGCTTTCAGAAATGTAGTTGGACAAGATTTCCTTAAAATACCAAGATTATTCTCTAAAATTCTTATCTCTAATGCGTAAAAACACATTTGTCACTAAATGAGAGAATTACACTAAACAAACTAAGCCTTCTTATTTCAGACAATCATAGGTCTGTCCCACAAAATATTTCTCAGCTGGATTTCCAATTATCAGAAGGAATGTGCTTTTACATCTAAAATACCAAAACGTCAATCAATAGTTAGTTAATCGTGGTTCTATAAAGTTAACAGTCTCACTAGACAAGATTTAGTTTATTAATCAGCAACACATCTAGCGCTTGAATCCTATACCCAGCTATTGGTTCAAGTTGATCTGGTGATAAGGGAAGGCAATACCAGACGACACACAATCTGTCTGATTCTATATCTGTATTTCCAATAAGCCTACTGTCAGAGTATGACCTTAATCCATTTTCTAAACTGTTTTCATGTGTTGCCGATTATAATTATTCTAGTAAACTGCAGTTTTTATGTCATATTCTGTGTAATCTCTGATTAAATTTAACATACTAATTATTCTGGTGTCTAGTTTGCGTACTTCCTGAATTTTCTTTCTATGTGGATTGTTCATTTCCACCAAGGGTAATTGCTGCCTCTGAAAATATTTTTTTCTAGCTATACCAACTCTATTTTTTACTACATAATTGAATTTTAATGTAAAATCATAGCACCCTGATTGTTGAATGTTATATCATCAATAATTTTGTGTATTCTGTGAATTCTATATTTCATATGGAGATCAGCATCAAAATAGCTCTATTTCTATCTGCAAATAGTTTTCAAATGAGTTAAAACATTGGAACAGAAATACTATTGTAATTGTTTATCTTATTTAGCAGGGGAGATTCTATAACATTCTTTTGATCCACATCAAGTCCCATTTCATATATCAGTAGCAAGAATATCCTACACTGGTAGTTGACATGTAATGGTTGATAATTTCTGATTCTCTGATTGTGAAGCAGGGAGTTATAAAATGTGACTATGAAATTTATAAAGTTACCACCAAAGAGTTCATGGTTCTGGGTCATGTTAAACGTCACCGTTCTATAAATTCAGCAGTGATTTTCTCAATTCATAGAAATAGGAAAAGTGAGGTAACTCTTTCCCCCAAGAATGAAGAGAGCTGCCAAAAAATAAAATTTAACAAACAATGTGAGTGGTAGTTTGACTTTGCCTCTAGTATGTAAATGGAAGCACTGACCTTAGGTTGAATTTAAGAATAAATAAAGAGGAAAATAATTCTATTCTCTTGTATCTTTTTTTTCTTCCTCAAAAAAAAGTCAGTTGACAATACCAGACAACACACAATCTGTTTTATTCTTTTATTGTATGTATCAATCCAGGTGGAAATGTAGGGCTGAGAAATCTAAATAAAGACCTGTCTGACACAATGGATGTTTCATTGAATTGAGTGCCTGTGACATTAAGATTTACAAATCTCAAAAAATTCAAATATTTCAAGTTTTTACCCATCTGACATGATCAAATATTTCTCTATTAAAGACCTTCTCCAAAGACTAGGAGGAATATACAAAATGTTCCTACATTTCATCTGTAGGAAAATAACTGTTATAAAATATACACCAAAACTAGGCCAGGTTTGGTATTTTTATGATAGTACCATGGAAAAAGAGAAAAACAACAGAAAGTCTGAGAGGAGATTCTCTATGTCATAGAGGGTGTCTTGGGGACCTACAGCCACCAATGGCACGGGGGCAAAAGAACCCACCACAGACAGAACGGATGGCAGAAAAGCCAGATTTATTGAAAACACTGCTAGAGGAAGCAGCAAGCAAGACAGAAGTCAGTTCAGTCTGCTCTGAGAAAGGGTTTGACCTCTGCTATACTGCTTTAACAGGCTTTCTTGAAGGACACAAGGCAATTATTTTCACGGGTTGTCATTTGCTGGGATGTCCAGTCAGGGTTAGTCCTGCATTCCTTGAAGTTCTCACTAGGCTTTTTGGTCATATGTAGGTTTTATGGTTATGAGGCTTGTCTTGGGCAGCAAGACAAGTAGACCTATCCACACCCACCCACCAGAATCTGAAGAGTTTATATAGAGGCTTCAACAGGGTTCCGTCATGTATACAGTCCAGATAATTTCAGCAATTCTTTCCTCAGTCAAGGTTAGGTTCTTGTAATGGCTCTGGCCAAGAGAATGGCGAATATATTCTAAAGACAAGGAAAGGGTTAAGGAGCTGCTAATTATCCCAATCCAGCTCTCAGTTCAAAGAAAGGTCATGTCCTTTGAATGACTTACTCCAACTATTTATAACACATATAACTGACAAAGGTGCAATCCAAAATGTATACACATTACTCCTAAAATTAAATTTAAAAAAATAATAAAGTGTAAGAAAAAAGTGGGTAAAGTGGTTGAACAGGCATTTCACAAATAATAGTGTCTAAATATGCAAAAACATTTTAAAAATCAACTCAATTAGGAGAAATGCAAATTAGAAATGTTCTTCTACTATATACTTATCAGAAAGATTACAATTACAGAGATTTTGAATTCTAAATATTAGGAGGTATCACAATGGAGATTCTTACACTCTGCTTGATGGGAGGTTAAACTGAAGCCTTCGGAAAACCTCTTGGCAGTATCTACTAGAAACAATACATTTTGTGTGATTCTACTTACATAAACTTCAAAAGCAGCTTAACTATTAGTCATTACAATGTTTGGTTCTAGGGAGAGACAGGGAGTCACAATGGGGAACACAAGGCTTCTGGATGCCTGATTTTGCCTCTTACCTCAGTAATGGTGACACAAATATTTTCATTTTGTAATAATTCATGATTTGTATACTTTTAGATGTCATACATCCTTTAAAGATTTCAAAAATTGGGCCTCTGGTGGCACAAGGGGTTTAGCATCAGCACTACGAAGCAATCCACAGCTACTGCAGCACGAGTTCAATCCCCAACCAGGGAGGTGACCCACATGGCACAGCAGACCTCTCCTGTCTCACACACTGCTCCCTTCAGCAATATATTTCAGTCAATCTGCCTGTTCTGCTCCCCACTCTGTCTCTGGTGAATCCTCTCATCCCCCGCCCACCCCTGGCACCTCTGGTCTACACCCCAGCTCCTGTATGCATAAATTATAAATACCTTTTAAAAAATTTTCAAAAATTAGTGGTTATTGTGGAGAGCTTTGTTGAAGAGACCACAGTATACTCATTCCTGTGAAAATCATATAAACAAACTACTTCCATAATAAATGAATAAGTAAAAGACTAAAAATAAACAAACCAAAATAGGTAGCAGTTGTCTTTAGGTTAGATTTTTACTTTTTCTATTCTTTTGCATTCTCACATTTTCTTTGATAACCATGTCTTCATGAAAGAGTGGCAAGGAGGGCCTCATCTTTCACTTTTATGTTTTTCAGTTTACATGATGTTTTCACTTGTTTTATCTCACTTAATCCTCATAACATACCCATGAAGCAAAGATTATCATACTGAATTTTTTAATGAGAAAGAAAGAAGCTATGAAACTCATTCAAGGCCATTTCTATAGCTACTGGCTTTTTTCTGCCTTCACATCACAAGAGGTACTCATAATTTAAAGCAGAAGGAAGATATAAATATGTGATAGGAAAGGTGGGGTTAGTGTTAAAGGTGAATAGAGACTGGGTACCTGCAAGTTTGTTTAGAAAAAAAATGCAACATTCTAATGAGTACAGTAAAAAACAGTACAATTGGAAATGTCAAGGCCGCTTATTCCAAACCTGTAATATTAAACATCTATGTGGGTCTCCCTGGTGGCACAGGTGGTTGAGCACAGCGCTGTGATACTGTCCGCTGACTCTACAGCTCAGCAGGCCAGGAAGATAGCCACATGGCACAGAGGACCTCTCCTGTCTCGCCCGCTGTTCCCCTCAGCAGTGTATTTCAGTCAGTCTGCCAGTTCTGTTCCCCGCTCTATCGCTAGTGAAACCTCTCGCCCCCGCCCCCGCCCCCGCACATCTGGCCTGTAGCTCGGTTCTTATATGCATGAATAAATAAATCTTGGAAAAAATAAAAATAAACATCTATGAACACAATCCACAAGTAGTTTATATACACAACTAATTGTCAATATAATAAGAATGTCCACATGGGGCTCATGGCATATAAATTCAAACAGGAAAATTGGACCCTTGCAGATTTACTCTGTGGAAGTGAGATGAAAGCTGGCCCCCTCTCTTGGTAACCAGGGCAAGGGAAGTATCAGCCTTGCCAGCGTGTTATAGTGATTCTGAAAAAATCAAGAGACTTTTTTTAATATAAGCTCAAAATTATAACTATACAGACTTAAGACTATGGCTTTCTCATTACTGATGTCTAGAATAACATATTAGTCAAACCAACCATGGAATAAAATTATACACAAAAATATTTTATAAGCTTTATTTATCTCCACCAAGAGAAATTCACTCTTATAAAGCAGAGATGGAATGCTATATCCTAAGTGTCACTTTCTATAAACTCTAGAGACAGAATGAATTTCTTCTTCCTTCACACTCTAACACCACTAGGACAGTATGTATTGCAAAGCACAATAAATAATTATTTACAGGTCTATTTGTAAACCTGTTATAATTATTTACAGGTCTATTTGTAAACCTTTTGCCCTCTTGAGTTTCAAGAGGGCAAAGCTGTAGGTTATTCATGTTTTATCCTCAGTATCAAATGAAACATCAGGTTATAAAATAGGTCCTAATAAAACTTTGTTTGAATTAATATTGAGCTATCTAAAGAAGATGATTTAAAAGTCCAGTGAAAAGGAAATACAGTGAAAAGGCAGCATTCACTAAATATACTATAGATGCTCTATTTTCTCTCTTTTAACATGGTCCATCACCATGGGCATGGTTTACAATATAACTCAAATACTACTTCCTTCATTAAATTCCTCCTTATTTTTCCAGGTTACAATTATCTGTTGCTTTTTCTCACTTCTAAGTACTTCCTATCTCTATCAAAGTCTTCACTCACTTCCCTTCTATATTTTCTAAAAATTTCTCACAAGGAAGATATTATATCTTATTTATCTTTGAATATACAATGTCTACCTATACCTGGCCTGGCACATAATATATACTCAGTGAATGTTTGTTAATGAAAAGTTTATTAGACTTGAGTATATTCAAAAGATTATAGGCAACTTGTATCATTTCCGCTGTAACCAAGATGAAGGTCAGAGCAGTTCAGGAACCTTTTGTCTTCCTGATGAGTCCTTCTATTGTGTCCCACTGCTCCTTGGTGACCTAATACAAAGAGAAAAACTCAATTTAATGTGATTCTTGCATGTTGTTAAGACTTAGTGTCCAAGCTGCTAATATAATATTACAGACACAAAAGGGCATTACCTTCCGCAGACTGTTGAATTCCCCTGAAATAAATACTTCCTCTCCACCATCAAATCTAATGACCTGAAAAAAAAGTAAATAAAAATGGTGAAACTAACTCAAAGATTCTGAACTATTAGTCATTTTCCCATTCTAACTGAAAGCCCTATCTTTTGGGCATTTTAAATCAAATTCTTAATTTTAAAGACAAAACTAACAACTAAACCTAAACTGACTTACTGTTTAGTATCCTATTTCTATTATCTCCACAATTTCAAACTCTATCTTAAAGATCATCTTAAAGCATGTCTACTAGAGTAATGTGCATTTCATAAAATTTATCAATGAACAAATCTCATGAACTACAGTATATACTAACATTTTTATTTTATTTACAGCTGGATAAATACTTTAAATCATTTTTACACTCAACATTGTCAGGACTGATTCCACAAAACACCTCCCACCTTAAATCCTCCCGAGACAGTCAGGAGAAAGAGCAATGCTTACTGCTCCATTAATCCAAGAGGCATAATCACTACAGAGGAAAGCAGCAAGGTTTGCAAGTTCTTCCACAGTTCCTAGCCGGCCACAGGGAATTCTGTCAACCATTTCTTTCTCAAAAGCACCAGTTGGGTCAAGACGACTAAAGGCACCCTTAGAAATTAAGAAAATCATTACATTGTGTTTTTTAATTCAAGAAACAATTCTGCATAAAATTGTTAAATAACAATTTTCTTCCTATTTAAGAAACAAAGTTGCATGAAATTGAATGTTACTATGGCAGCCTGTTCATATCTTAGTCCTTGTAGGCAACAGGGAATTTTGCCAACTTCTTCCACATTCACTTGTTAGCTCAAATAATTTATCTAATATCAAACCTTTAGATTAATTACTAGAAAATACAACTTTGGGGTCTTCATTTGTAACATGAGGATACCTGTTTCATCCACCTCACTAAATTGTTGTAACGTGTAACAAAAGAGAAAATACCTTGAAATATGTAAAAGGTTAGTACTGCGGAAGTGCAACCAGAACCCCCTGGTGCAGAGGGGCTTGGGGGCTTTCCACCACCTGAGGGTATTCCCCAGGGGTATCCCCTTCCCATGTGTAGCCCCTCTCTCCGCCCCCACTTCTGCCAGTTTTTTTCGATCGGCCTTCACAGGCTGGCCACAGGCAGCACTTGCCCAAACAGATGGAACAGCATGTCTCAGCCCCAACAAAGCCACATGGCCGTCAGCCTCTGGCTCCACAGGGATCTGGTTACAGAAGCAGGGGTGCTACTGTCATTGGATTTTGTAAACATGAAAATGATTCAAGTAGGACATATTTAAGAGGAAATCCTTTTCCTCTTCTCTCTTTTCAAATAATAGGGAAAGAAGACTACAAATACATATGAATATTCAAGTAGAACAGAGAGAGAAAAACCATAACTATGGTTTCTGTTAATGCCAAACAATTTCTATTAATGATATGATAGAGCAAATCAAGATGACCTATGCATGTGCCTAGCTTAATAATAGGTGTTCCCACGCCTGCCCCGTGATACGGGCTATTCTCTGTAGGTAGCCAAGGAATGCTCTGCTGTGATATGCAGATACCAAATACATCACAGTTGCCCACTGAGGGGCCAGTTGGTAGCCAGCTCACAGGAACCCACATTACTTTATGTTAAAACAAAAAGAAGTGTGAGAGTGAAGTTATTTAGGGTAATGTGAGAAAACACATTACCTATAGATCTTCTAAGCAATATCTATAACAGCAAGAGTGATAATTATGAGTTGTAGTAAGAATCCATAAGGATTATTGATTACAGCTGAAATGTATGCCATTAGAAGAGTTTTTAATCAGGAAGAGATGGAACTAAGATAACATATTTAACTGAGTATTTGAAAGTAAAAAGGCAGACATGAGTCAAAGAAAGTGCTAGCAATACAGACCAAGATTGTCTGATAAATTTTTAGAGTATCTCTTAAAGCATTTCCACGATTTTAAAAAGGATATCAGGAGTAACAAACAAAGATTGATATCAAAGAATCTTTAAAATAAAGTAAAAATGAAGAACTACAGGACCAATAGTAGATCACTGGAGCAAATCAGACAAAATGCCAAAAGTGATGGCATAAGATTCCAGAATATGAACCTGACCTATTTCTTATAGTAGGATAATGACAAAATCCTCTCCCCACCACCACTCCTGTATTATGACACCACTCCTGATAGAGTATATCTATCAACATTCCATACCTTAATCATTTACAATATGATAAGAAGCAAACTAAAACTTACTTTGGTTTTTATAGGCCCAGGCTGGATCACATTGAATCGCATCCCATATTTACCCCATTCAGCTGCGAGTGACCTAAAAATTAAACAACATAGATTCTAAAATACATAAAAATACTAATAACCCAACAGTCTGTTTAAAAGTAGTCTATCATGACCTTCTTTGTGCTCCTTATATTGGTACATAACCTTCATTTTAGAATCTATAACACTGGATGGCACTTATTAATAGTATATTAGTCTTTCACCAGATTGGAATAAACAAAATGCTAAGGGTACACAGAGAATGATGAATTTTGTTCTAGAGTAATAAGAGAAACATTCCAGAGAAAGTGAGAGACTTGAAGGTAGGCAAAATATCAGAACAAATGCCAACAACAGCATAACCCAGGCACAGGATAATGAAAATAAACGATACATTTAAGAAACTGTAGAGCAGTTCAATAGAAATTAAAGTCCAGGGGCCACTTGGGTGGCGCAGCGGTTGAGCGCTGGGCTGCACCCACAACCTCTGCCGGTTTGATCCCAGGCCACCGGCAAGGGCCCCACATGGCGTGACAAACCTCTCCTGCCGCACCCACTGCTCCCCTCAGCAGTGTGTTTGATCAGTCTGCCTGTTCTGCTCCCTGCTCTGGCTCTGGTGAATTCTCTCACCCTCCCACGTGTCTGACTGTACCCAGTGCTGGTATAAATAAATAAATAAATCTTAAAAAAAAAAGAAATTAAATTCCAGGAAAACGGAATATGAATACAAGCTCACATGAGGATGGGGACTACTCTACTTTCTATCATTACAATCCCTGGGATATAACATAGTGTCAGACAAACAAAAGGCACACAATAAATATTTACCAAGTAAGTCATTGAACAAACAAAGGTCCAGGACAAGTACCATACTGAGTTTTGGCTCTTATTCCCAAAAGTAATGGAAAAAAATGACCTAAAGTTTTTAGTTCAGTTATTTCATAAGCAGATATATATTTTTAGAAAGATGATTCTGGTGGGAATGTGAATACAAAAATAAAGAGAAAAGAGACTGGTAGCAGAGAAACATACTGAAGGGCTATTACAGTAAGAAAAGCAAGCAGTGGTGAGAACCTGCACTACAACAAAGGCAGCAGAAAAAGTCAGTGGGGAACAGATTTGAAAAGCACTTGGATGCTGCTGGGAAAAGGCCACAAGATCTGGCAAGGGGTCACTGGTTTATGTTAATCCTATTAATCCTGTCCAGTAGGTATAAGAAGAGGATGAAGGTGTATTTAAGCAAGGAGAAGGATAGCACATGGTGCGTGACACAGCAAAAAGGCTGCAGTCCTGGGTTGTCAAGTCCAGATCCTATTTAATTTTACAGAAATTAAACATTTTAAATGTTTTTTTTAGATTTATTTTTTATTTATTTATGCATACAAGAACTGGGGTGTTGGACAGAGGTGCAGGGGATGAGAGGATTCATCACAGAGAGTGAGAACAGAACAGGCAGATCTACTGAAATACACTGCTGAGGGGAGCAGTGGGGGAGACAAGAGAGGTCTGCTGTGCCATGTGGGTTAGCTCCCTCACTGGGGATCGAACTCATGCTACAGTGACTATGGATAGCTTGATAGCTCTGGGACTTTCACCTCTTCACCACAAAGGAGGCCCTAAATATTTTAAATTGTTAAAATTAAATAAAATTTAGTTTCTCAGCCACCACAGCCACAATTCAAGGATTCTGTGGCCATATGTGGTTATTGAATAGTGCAGATTTATAGAATATGTCCATCATTACATAAAGTTTATCCAGAAGATAAAATGTCTGTCTCCTCAGGAAATCAAATTAATCTATGTTTTTCCTTTCCTTTGGATGGAGACCCTAAGCAGGAATTTAGTCCTATGAGCTACCAAGTGCATTATTTATCTTCAGTGACAAGATTAAAATAATACTCACTTGTTCATGGCTTCAACTCCTGCTTTGGCAGAAGCACTTGGTACTACAAAACCTGACCCGGACTCAGCATAGATGGTTGTAATAGCAAGAAACGCAGCTCCTGAAATTTTAAGGACATAGTAATTAATTATATTGCTAAATAAACTCGCATCAGGAAAACATGACTTATGAGAATGGAAGCAGGCATAACAAACACTGAAGCATTTTTAAAAACTTCACTAGCCCTAAATTAATGAGAGAATGACCTTTCAAAAAATGCTGTATCTTACTAGTAATCTTGCTGTCATTTGGAATGACCCCGTCTGTGCTTGTTTGGAATTCTATACCAGGTGAGTGAACCAAGGCCCAAATCTCAAAAGCATGGCCCTTTAAGATCCTGCATGACCAGATGGACAGTATTTCTATTAGCTAAGTACACACTAAAGAATAAATCCAAATCAAAGCTAAATTATCAGAGACTTCTGCCTCAAGCTATAATGGGACTTGCCTTCCTCCTGTAAACATCAAGAAAACTAAGATACATGATACAACTATTTTGAGACACTGAACAGCAGGTAAGAAAGGACAATAATCCCTGAGAGAAGGAAAACAAATGAAATATGCTTTAAGATCAACCAGATTTTTGCCTAAAAGTAATATACATGTAGTATATTCGACACACTACACACTGACTATATAGATTATCATAAGGAGAAATACAAGCAAAACAGGGCATTCCCACTGATCTGAGGGGAGAGAGTAGGATTTGGGGAGGGAGGCTGTTGGAGTTTGTGAAGAGTGCACCCCCAAGGAGGAAAGCAAACAAAAAAATTCACAACACTATATATGATTTGGAAATATAGGCCTCTTGGGTCTATGTTACCACACCGTACTCTAAGAAAGTTAAAAGACGGAGAATTTAAAGGACTACAGAGAAAATAACTTTAAGAATATTCTTATGTCTGCTTTCTTTCTTCTCACATATTTAGTTTCTCTTTCCCTCCACATCTGCCAGAGTAGAAACAAAACTCAGCACAAACTGAACTCAACGTGGGGGTGGGAAGGAGGGCAGGAGCACCATATTGAGGATGAGAAATAAGAATGGTGGTTAGTCATCCTGGTAACTTCTTTTATACATCACACACAGCCTTTGAGATCTCTGAAAACTATTTTGCTTCCAAAATCACTCTGAAAGAGGAGGGATGTGGAATATTAACATACACCATTACAGCACACTGGCAACAGCCAGCAACTACATCATCCTACAGCACAATTATAAAAGCTGCTTTCAAAGTGACAATTACACAAAGCAAATGCTCCTGCATGAAAGGGCTCCATTTTTCCAATTCAGATTTAACAGAAATGTTTATCAAGGTGTGAGAGAGGAGTTAAGCCATTATTACATAATTCAGATTCTGAAAATGAAAATATGCTCTTTGCTGTCTTCCTTTAGGTCTTATTTTTTCAGCCTAAATGATATAGCTTTTGATAAGACATTGCTGTTTTCAACTCTCCCTGAGTATAAAAAGGAGGTAGAAATCTGGAATTGCACTGTCCTAATAGCATAAATGTTGCATGGTCAAAGAATGCCCCTGGACCTCAAAAAAAAAAGGATCGTGATAGTAAAGCTCAAACCAAATAATTCCCAGATTTTGAGGGTTAGTCACAGATTTTTCTTTCAGGAGGAGGGCCAATTATTTAAATTAGAGTAACTGCCTAGGAAAAGTTTGTAAATGGCAGGTTTCTAACATTCCAAAGCAGTCAACAGAAATAAATCTGTGTTATTTAGTGAGGTCAAGTAAATGAAGAAAAGAGCAATAAATGAAATACATATTATTTTAGCCCACCCTTCATTATTTCAAAATGGAAACAAAAAGTCACTAAAAGTAAAACACTACCTATTAAAATGATAAAATGTGTAAGTTTTTGTTCCAATTTTAAAAGAATACTCAAAGGTTCTAAAGTAGAGCCTTCATTTAATCTAAATTATAAAAATTGAAATAATAAACAATTTTAGTTCCGTGACCAACAAAAGTGGACTAGTGTAAAAACATTTGGGCTCAAATGCTGATTAAACTACTTACTATCTGGTTTGCTGTATGACCTTAGGCAAGTTATTTCCTGTTGTAGACCCTAGATATACCATTCAGAAAATGAGGTTCAGCAAATATCATTAGATTCTAAGGATTTCTCATTAATTGCTGCTGTTGATTACAAAAATAATTACAAATTGATAATAATCCAGCTTTCAACCATCAACTAATTTCAATTGATGCTATCTGACTTCCCAGCTATTCTTCCACTTTCATCGAAATTTAATTCCTGTTCTCAAACTTACAAAATTATCTGTATCTGCACCTCGAACCTGAATTTCCATCATGCTGGCAGAGTTCAACATCCAGGTGGGCAATGTCATAAATCTCACAGCTTCACAATCTCCCCATTCCAACAACCTCCACTTTCTTCTCAATTTAACCAACAATTTAAGTTTTGTCATCAATCCAGAATACTCAATACAGTGCCTTACTCTCTGGACTCTGTCCTTCTATTGATAGATCTCATATCCACATATGGTCTTTGATGCCTTACTGTAAATTCTGAGTACTTTAATTTCCTCCTAGTCAATGTGCCTGCTTAGAGCCCACTGTTAGATAATTAATCACTGAAGTCTTAAACACTATAGTTTGTCAAAACATCCATCCTGCAACCCCACAATACCACAATGGCCTTCTTAACTCTTACATACAGAGTTTTAATAGTTACAAACTGCAGGTGAATATCACAAATTGCATCAATAAACTTCATCCAGGATCACAACATCTCTTGTCAACTTTTTTAATACCCAGATTAAGTCCCTTCCCATGTTATGATTACCAGAACATTCCTTCATTTGTTCTCCTTCAGTATCTCTCTTCACTGGGCCCTCTACTCCATATTAATCATGGCTTAATCTTCACTTGAATGAATCTTAAAATCCTTCAGTTTAACTTCACCCATCTCCACAGAGTAAAGTCCACACCCAAAACTCATCTTGCACCTCCTGACATTAAACATTACACATAAGCAACACTGAGCTTCTTGTTCTTCCAAAACATATAAATGAGCTATTGTTTGCAGCTTTAACTCCTCTATATTGCTGTCAGCAGTAATCTCAATCATAGGAAAGTGAGAAAACTCTGCACATTCCCTTTAATTTTTGTGTTAACAGTTCACACATTATTTAGTCTAGAACAGCCAGGTGGTTAAAAAACCTTCTTTTCTGATAATTTAAATGCAAGAACAGTATAAGGCATTTTACTTATTTCAGAGTTTTCAACTGCTTCTTCATCTATATTGACCAAAAGGATCTTTTCTTTTTTATTCTTTCTACAGGTGGTGAATTATTTACATTTTCTCTTCTCTTCCTCTAGCACACAGCTGCTGCTAAGATTCCCTCAGGCACGCTTCCGCTGGCCTCCATCCTCTCCACAATGCCCTTCACAAACATTTCTTATTGATTTTCTCTTTTCCCTTCATGTCACATGACAAATCTACCTAACAGTGATCTTTTCCTCTTTCTCTTTTCCTGACACAGTTTCCAGCCCCATCCCATAATGGGCTATGGTTCAAGCTTTCTGGGGCTTCTTCTGACTAACCCTCCTCTTTGATTCCCTGAAACTCTGAAAATCTGGTAGAAATTATTTGTACCAAATTCTTTAAATTATCTAGGCTACCATATGTTCATTCACATATAAGAAGCAGCACATGGACATCTGTAGACCAATTTATATCTTCCATGAAGCTATTAAATCTAACCCCATGTTTTCTTACTAAATATTGGAGTAGCAATTAATTATCCAATCTATTTTACAGATGAGAAAGCAGAGTAGTGGTGAAAAATCATAGCTTACTGTGTCCAAGTATTGTGTGTAAACTAGAGGACCACAACCAAAATTAAACTCCAGTTTTCCCCAATAAACCATTTACAAAAAAAAAAAGCATATCATGTCAATAGTTAGTGACAGTGATAGCTAATGCATCAGAAATCTAATACACCACAATTCATCATATGTGAAAGTGAGACTTAATTACATCTACCTCACATATTAAAAAAGATCAAATATGTCTCAGTTTCAATCCACATCTATATATGGGATTAAAATAGCATTCATCTTTTAGAATCATTTCAAGTGTTAAATAAGTTAATAAATATTTATCACTAAGAACAAAACCTGATACAGAATAAGTACTTGACAAACATTAGGTATTAAAAGAAAGAAGGGGGGGAGAAGGAGAAAATTTGATTATAATTAGGTGATGTCCTTAAAAACAATGCTTCACATGTGCTTATTCAATATTCTAACACCTACAACATCCTCTATCTTTAATAATTATAGAATAGTTATAGTAATCATGATAGAATTCCCATATGGGGCTATGCAAAAGAAATTCTAGTCTACTGGTATAAAGTAATCCATGTGACTCAATGACTTAAGCTAGTTCAAAATCTACTATAATAGCAGTAGATCTGCCTGTTCTGTTCCCCACTGTCTCTGGTGAATTCACTCACCCCCTGTGTCTCTGGCCTACACCCCAGTTCTTGTATGCATAAATAAATAAATAAAATCTTTAAAAAAAAGAAGTAAAAGCTGATCTGAAGCATACAGGAGGGGAGGGGCAGGCAGAGGGTCAAAAGAGGGCAGGGAAGAGCATAGGGACTATGGTGATGGTTCATGGGTGCTGAGGTAATGGGAGTACTGTAGGGACTACAATTGAGGGGGGAACAGTGATGTAAGAAAATAAAATAAATAAAAATAACAGCTAGAAGTTGAAAAAATGAGTTTCCCAGATATTTAACCTTAACTGTCTTCCTAACATACTTCCAATCACAAATTACCATATACTGCCTGCCCCTGATCTGACGTCCAGAATTACTACTTGAACACACGTCAGAGATCATTACCCCTGAGCTGACTGTCCATCCAATACCAGAATAGACTCCGCAGTATACTCCTCAGAACCCAGTAATACATGTCCTTAAAACTGTCACGTTAGAGCATCAATAACTGACAGGAATCTTGGTAGAATAAAAACTGGCTTCCATCTTTTAAAAAGCCTTTTAATATATTTTTAATAAAGCCCATAGAATTTTAATCAAATGTGGTGAATAAAAATAGATCAAAGTCTATGTTAAAATGAAAGACAATGATGAGAAAAGGGGGGCAAGTTGAACAGAAATCAGGGATCACAGGGATGGGCAGAGGGAAACAAAAGACAAAATCAGGCACAGAGACAGAAAGTGATGAAAGTGACTGAGAGAAATCAAGAGCAAAAGTGGAGAGTTGCTAGTGACAGAGAAATAAGTAAAGAAATAAATGAGATCCTGTGGTTCAAAACCACAGGATGCACCTGAGCTCTTGATTGCCCATCCAATGACAGATGCCACCTTACCACTCTTCCCTCATGGACCCTAACACCCAACTCATTGTAAACACAGCACTCTTAGCTACCAGAAGTCAGATCAAAAGACCTGCCCTAGAGAGACAAAAGATACTGATATTGTGAATGAAGCCATCTATTGCTTCCAGACCATTATCTTCTTCAAAAACTATTAAGTTTAGAATGTAGCTGAGAAGACCCTGAGAGAGAGATATCTATTTCTGAGTGTCAAAAAGAGATCCAAGAGTGCAATTCCAAAATCCAAGGTGAGAAAGAAATGTATACACGGGGAATCACTAATTTCCCCCTTCCTGGAGAGCCTGGTTTCCCACTTAATGCAATTTAAGTCAAATCTGCAAAAAATAGGATGGAGTGATGAGGGCCTACTTAGAGCAATGAAGCCAGGAGACCAACTGAGACTTGTCAGAAAGTGGTGGACTTGCTTTGTGAAGACAGAATTTATGAACAGAGCTTTTCAGGGCCTAGATAGTGAAGTCCACCTGGGCAGACACTGTCTCCTTAGTCATGGACAGTGTTTTATAGCAAGTTATACACAGTTCTTTGCCTTTACTGCATGAAGTTTTACTTAGAAGAGAGAAGTGATCATGTCTTTACTTGAAAAGCACTTTATCAAGAATTTGGGGGAGGGGAATGGGTTATCAGAGTGATTTGAAATTTTCTACATTGTTAATCTAGTGCTTAATAATAAATGATGAAGAAATTTCTAATGTTCAAAAAAAGGAAATAAAGAAGTTAGTAAAAATAAAGAAGTTAGTAAGAAATGGAGAGAAAAAAATCGGAGTGAGAGAGGGAGAAGAAATACAAAGATCTAGGGTCTTCAAACAAGAAGGAAAGAGAGAGAATTAAGCCCATTCCTTTCTGTCTCCCTCCCTAGTCATTCATTCCTGCTGAAAAAAATATATATATTAAGCAAACCCAGTTTTAAATTATATTGACTTTGCTGGAGTGGGAATGAGTGACCCGGGGTTTACATTTCAGTGAGTAAGTGGAGAAAAGATGGAAGGTATCAGCACACTAACACATTATTAGTGTCTCTCTAGCATCCTTCTGTCTGTCCTATATCCTTTTACGAGCTGGTGTGAGGACTGTCTACACTCACACTGCATAAAAGAAACTGACCTAATGAGGAAAGACTTCTGAAGCAGCAGAGAGAACATGGACAGTTCCATGCCTTCCTTGCTCCCCTCAAGACCCAAATGGCCTCCTTCCAGGAGCACAAGAACTCCTCTTCTGTCCTTACTCAGATACTCTCCACCATTTCTGAGAAAGTGCACCCCAACCTTGAAGACCCAACTCCAACTTGTTCCCACAGTTTTGTCCATCTCTGTCATCTAGATATGCAGTACAGAGCCTAATAAATAAAAGTTGTACGTGTCTAATAAACAAAAGTATATTAATTTTAGGCATATAAATATATTATGCATACATAGAACACACACATTTTACTTATATTACATAAACTTTTATAAAGAAATTTGTTCATAGCACCAAACAAAAATGATCTAGTAATTTCCTTCTAAATACAGTCTCTTTCCAACATCACAACCTCATTGATACCGTCATCATCCAAAGTATTCAGCCCAGCTAACGACTCCTTCTAATCAGCAAGGCCTGTGGACCTTATCTTCTAAATGCCTAGTTCATCCACCACGCCATTCATCAGAATGCCCAAAGAAAAAGGTTAACCCTGATGAATGGTTTCCTTCATCTCATCCATGCCCCACATTGTTGGCTAATAACCTTTCCAATCATTTCACATTCTTCCTGAGACACCTTCCAGAGAAATCCATAGGGAAGTAACATCCCATTTCCTTCAGCGTAAATATCAAACTGCCTATTAGAGCAAACTTGCCCATCCACTTCTCCCATAATCATTCCCCCTCCCCATCTCTAACCACATGGAATTTCTCATTAGGCCCTGAACTCATGTTTTTCCCCTCCACTAGGGCTCTTCCCATGGATATTCATATTTCCTTTCCCTCTCCCTTTTCTCCGTATCATATCTTTAAAAATTCTGTTCCAAATGCATCTTGTTACTCAACTTTATAATCACTCTGAGAGAGAATTATTCACTCTCTGGATTTCCAGTGCATTGAAACATGTTTATTATATCCCATAATGCATAATATAGCATAAGGTAATTATTTAAGTATCTTTCTTTCCCATTAAATTATGAGTTGTACAAGAATAGACACTCTTGTACACTCCATTAACTTCTGCAAGAATCCCCACAGCACAGCAGAGAATTGAGTATAGTAGGGTCCCAATAAACAAGTGAGAAATAAATCAACATACCTTTCTGTGCTTTAATTAGTTGCTTCCCAATTTCTAGTGTCACAAAGGCTGTGCCATTTAGAACTATGTCAGTTATAGTCTTCCAAGCATTAGCAGAGAGTCTTTCAGTGGGAGAAATAAAATTCCCTGCTGCATTGTTTATCACAATCTAGTAAATGAATAAGGCAAGTTACAAAACTTTTAGATAAGTAAGAATATCTTCCCACAGGGCTTTTATTTCTGAAATTAATCCAAATAATGTAATAAAGCTGAGGTTCACAGTCACAACCATGAATTAATACCAAGAGGTTTAGTTTGGTTTTACTTTTATTGAGCCTGTGAAAATCTATTTTATTTATCAAATTTCAGAATCCTAATTCTTGATATTTACTACATCAAAATTAGGGTAGAACCCATTACTGAGAAAATACAGACTAATTATACCTACTATGTTGCCATACTTTATTTCAAGGAATTTCAAGAAATGCCTTTCAAGTCATTTAATTGCTTGGTTTCATTTTCACTTAACCTGGCTCAAAGAAACTTTTGGTTGATGACCTATTTCTTCACTATAAATAAGATTCCCCTTAGATCTATAGCAAATACAGTATTATCAGTCTCTCTAAAAATATCTTTTACAATGAAAAGTGCTCTCTTTGATATTACTAGAGGAGATAATCTCTTTTCAATACCCTTATTATCTCAGGTCTAAAAGAGAAATCCGAGGCTCTTGTAGAACTCTTTGCTTTTGTTATTCTCCTCCACTGAGAGGGATAATCAAAACTTATTAGGAAAAGCAAACAGCATGAATCATTTAAAGTAGATATTATGCTCTTGGGTGGCTGTGCTTCTTATTTCATAATCTTATTAAATAAAGTCAAATCAGGTTTGTTCTATATGATTGTAAATGCAATTTTAAAGTATTCCTGAGAGGAAAGAGTGTAGCAGTCTTAGAGCTGGCATTTTCCTAAGGACAGAAAATAGGTGCTTCTCAACACAGAACATGCTTACATCAATATTCTATTTCCTTAGTGCATCTTAGTGAGTGTTATCAACATCAAACACCTTGTACTTTGGCCTTACCACCATTACACTTACATCAGGAAGTCCTGCAACTTTGATCAGTTCCAACACAGTATTTTGAACCATTTCAGGATCCCTCACATCACACTGAATTGCGTGAACCTACAAAATAAAGAAAAAAATATTATAACTTAGCATTTCTTAAACCACAAACATGAGTGTTATTTAGGCATTCCTAAATCTGAATTCCTAAATCTGAATTAAATAACTGTTTTTCAGTGTACCTTATTTCCAGTTTGAGAGGAAATTTGTTCTGCAGTAGCTTTCAAAACATCAATCTTCCTAGAAATAAATACATGGCACTTTGCATGAATTCTGAAATGACTTCATATTTTTTCAATTCTTCAGTTAAGGAACAAAGAATATAGCTTAAAGAAACATTTTTTTAAAAAATGCAAAAGTTACATCCACCAAAAAAAATCAGTATGAATAGATTCACTTTCTAAGTTAAATTCAAGTAACTTTTATATATCTGACACTAACTTATTGAATTATTCACTTTTAAACCTGTTATTTTCTATCTATTCACTTAAATTTTTTTCTTAATTACAATCATTTCTATCTGATTCTTTGCCCAAGACTACTTTAGAAAGAAACATATTCATGGGTATAATATAAGCTTATATTACAGTATATAAAATCTATATTATTATATCAAATCTATATCAGTAGATTTTAGACCAAATTTATGGGTGTTAGAAATCAATATGCATTTAGAATTCCATGCTCTTGAAAGAAATACAAAAATAAACTATACAGTTCTAGAAAGAAAATATATTTAACACTCAAAAACATTACAACATAAAAATAAAAATGTCCTGGCTAGTTTAAATTAAAAAGAAACATCTGAAATAAATTCCTTTTTACATAGTGACTAGTCATTCAAACTACTACTTAGCTGATATAAGTAGCAGGGGGTGGATTTTTGACTAGTTTCTAAAGCTCTAGTCTGATATCGGTATAGGGCGCCAGGACAGTCCTAAAGCAGAAGAAATTCCTTTCACATAGTCTTACCCTAACTACATTCATCACAACATATTTTGAAATATTTGCCCATCTTAGAGAAAATGAAGGTGCACATCCATATCACAGTACAAGGTCAACTATTCAAACAGCCATCGTAACCATTCCCCCTGAAAACAAAATAGCTGCAATGTAGTACTTTTTGACTTCATCTTCCACATACGGAAAAAAATATTCCATCACTGAATTGGGAAATGTATACGTCATCAGTGCCATAATCAACCATTATTTCTATCACCACAAATCATAACTGACTTTCCAAGGAGATTTATTTAAATAATCTAAAGGCTGGTTCATAGAAGACTAAGAGGCAACTCAACACCTCTAGCAAACTGCTCTCAGCACTGCAGCATAGATTTGTTTCCTTGGTGGACTTACCGGCTGGCTATCACGCACTGAGCACCCAGGCTGGACAGAAGAGTTGTCATTCCTTTACCCAGGCCAGTGCCGCCCCCAGTGATGAAAGCCACTTTTCCTTGAAAACTATTAGGTGGCAGCATGGCTTTTTGAAGGGGTGGAAAGAATTTAGACTGAAAAGCTTCAGTGCTTTGATATAATATTTGTGTTCCATGACTGAAAAGCTGAAAAGGGAAAAAAAAATGAAATTTGCATGTATGTCTTTCCACAAAAGAAAATGAGTTTTTTAAAAACTTACTCTTGAATTTAATATTAACCAAATTCTTAGATTAACACAAACTTACTATAACATGTCGGCATTGTATTTAGTTATACTTTTTTCTTTTGGAATGTTAAGTGACAGTGGAATGGTTAATAGTATGGACTTTAGATCTAAACTACAAGGACAGAATTTTCTCCCTAATGGTATAACCTTCAGTAAGTTATTTAACCTTTTCTTTAGCGAAAGTTCAGTTTCTTCTATAAGTGGAGATAGTAATAGAAACTTGGTCCTAGGCACTTTAAAGATTTACATGAATTTATATAAGCAAAATAAATGCAACATTGTAGAGTACATAATAAGCACGCTATAAATGTAAGCATTATTATTTGCAAGTATTTTGTTTAAATTTAACTTTTGAAAAACTAGCTAACAAAGCATCTTGTCTTATAAGAAGAATAACTCAGATAAAAATCACATTCCATCTTTGAATCACTGAAGGAAATTATGAAAATTTCTCTGTGATTTTTTAAGTCAAATGCTTCTGCTGATTTTGTCTTCTGGATCACAAGTTTAAAACAGGTAAAATATGTCATATTTAAAATGGGAGAAAAATTCAACCATGTTGAACTGAAACACATTTATATGATGCTATATTATATTTCACAGTTTATACTCTCACATTACTTGTGAAAAATCACTGCAATTCTCTCACATTTAATTATATAAACAGATTTTAAATGTAGGACATAATAACAAACGATAGGAGCTAATACTCAGTAAATGTGTCAGGATCACCCATGAAATTGGTAATATTTCTACCCAGTTGTACAGGAGGGGCACAGAGAAGTTCAATGTATCATTCAAGCTGCAGAACCAAGATTCAAACATCGGCTGACAGGTTCCAGAACCCCCTTATATATTTCCTCTCTATTCACTGAGTTTAATGATCATACCAAAGACGGATGTGATAGTCCCCATCAGGTTATGGTTGTGAGAATAAAAAAACCCACACCCATCATTTCCCACTAAAGCATTACTGTACACTGAATGGGCTACCATCAAATGATGCAGAAGTTTATCCTAAGAAAACTACACAAGAAAATACTTATGTGATGTTAAATGAAAATAGGAATATGTAGTGTACTTACTATAATGAAATAGATATGTGCAGAAAGAAGGAAATAACCACAGTGAATAGTAGGTCTATTAGACTCTCAGTACATTAACTCTAACAACCCTATAAAGTAAATCCTATTATTACCTCCATTTTACAGATGAGAAATGTGAAGTACATAAAGGTCAAGTAACTTAAAGACAAACAATAATAATCAGTAAAGATTTAACTCAAATCCAAAATCTGTCTGACTTCATTGTTCATTCATTCACTATGTTAAAGGGTTGTTATCCTTAGATGGTAGAATTATAAATGAGTATTTGCTTTTCTGGTTGATTGGTTTGTAACATTTTCAAAATCCCTTCAATAAGGATGATTTAATTTTATGATTAGAAAAATGTAATTAGAAAACAAAATTTGAGAACATGTATAATAATTTGTAAAAAATGAATTTGTAAATCTGGATTATGTTCTATGCCTGTCATTTTATTTCCTTTAGCTTCATGTGGGCAATGCTTTTGTTTTCGTATCATTTTGCCAAAGCATGATAACCCAAGCAACCAACCATAATCTTTCTCTATATAATGACAGTTTTACTTTTTTTTTTTTTAAGATTTATTTTATTTATTATACAAGCACTGGGTACAGTCAGAAGCGTGGGAGGGTGAGAGAATTCACCAAAGTCAGAGGGGAGAGCAGAGCAGGTAGAGTGACACTGCTGAGGGGAGCAGTGGGCGGCAGGAGAGGTCTGCGCGCCATGTGAAACCCTCGCCCAGTGGCCGGGGAACGAACCGGCGCTGCAGAGGCTGTGGGTGGCTTCGCAACCCAGCGCTCAACCGCTGAGCCACCGGGGAGGCCCTAATGACAGTTTTACTTAAGGATACCACCTTCCTTCAGAACTATTACATTAAAATGATGACTCACAAATTTTGTGCAAGTTAGTTTGGAGAGCGTGTCATTACCTAGAAATAACAGAAAAAAGTGTCCTAATTTTCCAAAGACTCTACAATGAATTTTTATTTATTTACTGTTGATTTGAATAGGGAGTCTGACGTGGTGCTTTATGAAAGATAAGTAAGGTGCATACAAACTATCTTTTATTATTTTAAAACATTTCTCAACTTCTTAACTGGTAGGGGAAAAAAAGAATAAAGGAAAAACAATCACATTTGATAATAAAAATTCCTAATAAATGTCAATAATGTGACAAGTTCCTACAAAGCAGAGTCTTACTGTTACACCTCACTTGATTAGATCAATACTGATCTTAGGACTCCCCTTTCCTGCCAAACTAAAAGTGACAGAACTGACATGCTATGTCAATTCACATTACTTACTGATAACTCACAGCATATATTGAATATTAAATTCAAGCCCTCTGGTTGCCTAAAAGCAAGTTGTGTACTTCAACAGTAGAGACACATGAATATGAACAGATCTCACATGATCTTATTATAATCAATCTCCTATTTTTACAAAGAAGGATCCTGAATAACATGAGGTAACATTTTGGCTATTTCTTTTTGAGTCATAAAAAGTGAATACAAAATAGGCTTTTAAAGATTTTCAAATCTTACCTTGTGGTTTTTCTAGAAGTAAGCTGTTTTGCAAAAATGGAAATAAAACCTTTTGTATTAAGACTGATTTCTCTTGAGACCTTTAAAATTGTGAAAACACTTAAGTGTTCCAAATGGGGCATTACAGATTTATTTTTTGTAGTTAGAAGTACTAAAATCTCCCAGAAAAAAAAAATTATTTATCATCTTGCTCCCTTCTCATTCTGTAGTCATCATTCTCTATTTTCATGTACTCCTAAAGGATCGCATCTAAACCAATAAAAAGCGAGTATTGTACTTTTAACCTTCAAAATGGCAATTCTGGTTTTTTTTTTTTTTTTTTTTTTTTTTTTTTTTATAGAGGCATGTTTTTTTTTATATTATTTATTTATTTGTTTGTTTGTTTGTTTATACAAGCACTGGGTACAGTCAGAAGCGGGAGGGTGAGAGAATTCACCAGAGCCAGAGCGGGGAGCAGAGCAGGCAGAAGGACCGAAGTACACTGCTGAGGGGAGCAGCGGGCGGCAGGAGAGGTCTGCGAGCCATGTGGGACCCTCCTCCGGTGGCCGGGGAGCAGCCGGGGATCGAACTGGCGCCGCAGAGGCCGCGGGCAGCTTCGCAACCCAGCGCTCAACCGCTGCGCCACAGGGGAGGCCCAAAATGGCAATTCTGAAAGTCCTGCCTCTTCCCTAGCAAATGAGATATGTATACAAGTGAGATTTATACCTAAATTACTTAACTATTTTGGCTAGTTTAAAATGTTAACAGCAAATATTTAAAACAGAGATAGATGGATGATCTTAATCCAAATGTTTTGTCAGGTCTAGCTGATGTTTTACATTTTAAGCCAATATTTGGATATTGGAAGAATTCAGATAAAAATCTGAAGTTGTACCAACACTTAAGTCTACCTCCCTACGAGGCTGACTTCATGACTTCCTGAAATGAGGCCTCATGTCCTCTCAGCCCCCACTCACAGGAGCCCAGATGGTCTTTTACTAGGAGGTCTCTTGCATTTATAGGGCCTTCAGGGACCTGGGAGACCCCTTTCATTTACAGGCCTTCCGGGATGTGAGGTATTTGTTGTGAAACCCTTAATCTAAACAAAACCCAAGAAGCCAATACCCCCCAAACGGGAGTAATATCTGGGTTGTTTTGTTTGTTTGGTTTTTTGCACCATTGTTACCCTTCTAAAATTTTATATAAATCAAGTTTCTGTGAAAATAGTTGTCTAACATGCTACTTATATTAAGAAAACCCAGTTTCATGGGCCTCCCCTGTGGCGCAGCGGTTGAGCGCTGGGTTGTGAAGCTGCCCGCGGCCTCTGCAGCACCGGTTCGATCCCCGGCTGCTCCCCGGCCACCGGAGGAGGGTCCCACATGGCGCGCAGACCTCTCCTGCCGCCCGCTGCTCCCCTCAGCAGTGTACTTCGGTCCTTCTGCCTGCTCTGCTCCCTGCTCTGGCTCTGGTGAATTCTCTCACCCTCCAGCACTTCTGACTGTACCCAGTGCTTGTATAAATAAATAAATAAATAAATAAAACAAATCTAAAAAAAAAAAAAGAAAACCCAGTTTCAAACATGTAAAAATCATATAACAGACTCTCATATGGAAGTTGTGGAGTCAAATTAATGTTTAAATAACTGTGTTTAGCTATTTTACCATTATTACAATTGAGTGATTGGGCTTTCATTTTATAATTCCATCCGTCAAAAATAATGATGTCCTCCAGAGTCAAAAACATATAAAAATTAACTTTATCATTCAAGCTGTTGGACAATATGGGCTCAATCTGCCTTTCTAGCCCCACATCCAGTTCCACCTCATAGGAACCAGTCCCTCAGTACTTCTGAAACTTGCCAAACACTTTCCCCTTCTGGCCTTTGCTCCTGCTTTCTCTTCAGCCAGTTTTTTCCTCAACCTAGCAAAATCAAGCTTCAAAATCTCATACCCCTGTTAAAATTGAGCCAAATGAATTCCTCTTCCATCAGGTTTGCTATCTGCCACCCTATGCTGTGAGCCAGCAGGGAGGCAGAACAGTCCCCATTAATCACTGTAATAGGATTCTGGCACTAATTAGACATTCAATAAAAGGTTGTTTATTGTATGTATCACTGATTTGCCTACATCCAAAAGAGCATGGGTGCAGACATTTAGAGTGTTATGGAGATATGTGATACAATCTAGCTCTTTGCCACCCATTTTAATGTGTTAAAATAATGGTTTCCAATGACTCTAAATTATGACATCTTAAAAATTAATTTTATATCCAAGAAAATCCAAAATCTATAGA